GAATGCAAGGTAGGTCGTGACCATATTTAATAGCCTACAGTAAATATACAGAAAGGAGGGTCAGCGCCCAGAGCAAGGTGGAGTGAGGCCCAGGCCTAATGTCGGTGAGTAAACAAAGCACTATGGGAAGTGAAGACTCACGTAGTAACTGGCTTGCACAAGTCTACCATCTTTTATAGTACATTCAATTAAAAAAAAAAAAAAAAAGGGAATCACATGGGGCAGCAGGCCCGGAGTTTCCTGACTTCGGGTGTCCATAGATGAGGGACTTCACTTTCTTGAGCGGTTTCTTACTCACGGCTTCCAAGGCAGAATTTTTTAATCAGCCAAACCAGATCTTAAAGATATTCTGAATCTCAGCTGGTCAAGAAGCAAAAGGAGGAAATTATAACTGCTCACAAGGAACTGTTTTCTTTTTTTATAATCTGGCCACTGAAGTCTCTGGGAGGACCTTCTTATAAGAGTCTGTCTCTGGAGATTAGGGACAGGGATCTTGCATGGTCTCTTCTGCAGTCCCTTTCAAAGAAGGCTGAATTGTTTTTGAAGCCACAAACAAATTTGCTCTGCCTACACACCCCATTAGCAATGAACTAGAAGAGGCAAGGACATATGCACTATTTTCTGATGTGGTCCAGTATATCACAACACATTGCCAGTCCACAAAAGTATGAGTCTGTACTCACGTGGAGCTCCATACCCCTCTACAATGCAGGAGGCAATGAACTTCTAGATCTAAAAGCAACGCTCTCTGAAAAACACGTTGTGACCAGGAGAGACTACGCAGACTGACTGAGTCACAGCTGAGCTCTAGCAATGAATGCCAAGGAGCCTGGTCCCCACCAGCAGCTAGGTGAACAGAAATGGACAATTTATCTATACACTTACAAGCAATCCTCTGGCCTTTAAAAAAAGTTGTACACTTATGAATCATTCTCAATACATGGCTAGGAGAAAATAAATGGCTTTTTTTCCCTTATTTACTCTAAAAACTAGTTTAAGAAGTGGGGATCCTATGATATCAACTAAGAGGTGCGGGAAGGGAAAATGGGCTAGCATTTCCTAGTGTAGTCCACTAATTTTCAGATTAGGATCATGCTAAACTGGCTGACTCTACAACCACGACATACTTGATAATACAGGCGTGACTACAGACTGACCAGCGTGGCTCTTAGCTTAGAATTAAAGTACAGGTGCACATGGTGAATCTTAAAGCAGGTTCTAAAACAGATTTAACCCAAGCATACAGCACAAATACTTTTACAACAGCCACATCACAACCAGCAATATAGACTTTTTTTTTTTTGCTTCTAACCAGTCTGCCATATGCTAATATTTGTAAAGAGTTATTAAATGAGTTGAATAAAAAAAAAAAAAAAAGACTCTTTCGGGAGACTTAGCTAAAAGCCATGGGTGCCTTAGAGCAGTTGGTAAAAATCAAGCCAATCTGCCAGGCTGTTGCTTGCTTCTAAATATAAGCCTCAGGGCTCTATGAAAGAGTTTCTAAAGATGCTAACCTAGAATTTAAATTCTTAAATCTATAAAGTCACTGTGGTCTCCTCCCAAAGTATGCACCTTTTAGCAGGCCCAAGACAACGGAAATGAACAACAGAATGGATTCTAAGGAGTCAAGAATTGTGGCAGAAGATTGATCAAGAGACTAGAATCGTTCAAGAGATTGAAGGAGTCCTTACGTGCAGTTCTGAAGCCTGGAGAGAACAATGTCAGAGCCGAGCTCTGCGGACGGGCGGCCTTGCGGTGGTAAAGGGCAAGGCTTCTTTCCCTCAGCACTAGGTGTCTGGGGCTGGATCATTCTTTATTTGGGGGGGAGGGGATGTATTATATCTTGTAGAATGTTTAGCAGCATCCCTGGCCTCTACCCACTAGATGCCAGTAGTATACCACCACCCTCAAGTCGTGATAACCAAATGTCTCCAGACATTGCCAAATGTACCTTGAGGGCCAAAATTGCCCCTGGTTGAGAACCACTGCTGTAGAAATAGCTTCCCTGAACCCCTTCGCACATAGCACTCCCTTTTGGTCTTGGGCTCTAGACAGAGGTTCAATTTCAGATCAAGAATGAACAAGGTTCAGTTAAAGTTTCAGAGAAGAAAACTGAGGATGGCAGACAGAAGTAAAAACAGTGAAGAATTTCTTTTCAAAAAGAGATCAGTGCTATGCCATAAAACAAAGTAATTTATAAGCCTTTCTTCAACCTTTTTATTCTTTAGGGTCCTCCCTACCATGATGACAATCTTTGTGAGGTCAGTAATTCTTCATCAACCAGAGGGGAAAACAACAGTTAAAAAGCCAAGAGAGGGCCCATCAGAGCTGAGAGAGAACTTGACCGTCCCCTCTGCAAGCAGGAAGAGAATTACAAGGCTAGAAATGTGGATTGTAGTTCACTTACAGCTTACTGAGAATCAAGGAAAAACCAGAGCAGACAAGAGCTGAGAAGAGGATAGAAGAGCTACCTCAAAAACACTAGTTGCTAACATTGTAGATATTTTCTGGCTCAAATCCGGGAATGTGTGAAAAGTATGTATTGACTCATCAGTCAGGTTGACTTTGCTCTAGGTAGAAGGCAATTATTTTAGCCCTTCTTTGAAGAACCATCATTAATATAAATGTTCCGCAAACATCTGAGATCCCAGTGTTAGCAAGGATGACAACACGGGAAATCAGCCCCTAGGTGACAACGACCCTCAAATGCCATAGTGTGGCAATGGGATTGCGCACTTCCTAAGCGCACAGCACAGTGAGAAGTCTTTCCAGAGACAAAATTGTAGTTTCTGGTTTGCAAGGAGGGAATACAAGGTACAGATCTAGTACGAAAAAAGATGAGCTAAATATATACCTTGTCAGAGTCATTAGCATCCAGGCCAAAACTGCTGAGGGTCCACCTCACTTGTATAACCAAGCAGCTGCCTGGGAAAAGCCAGAATCCAGAGCTACCAAAACAGAAAGAAACAAGATAGAAAAGAGCTAAACAGCATGCAAAACTATTGATCTGAATCAAATTGTTTCAATAGTACCCAGTTGAGTTTCATTTTAGTGCCTTATTCCACTTACTAAAGTTAAATAAAAAGCACCTTAAAATGGCCTCTATATATAATCAATACACATCAGTATAGTATTTATATAAAAATGTAATATGCACACAATTTAAGCTTCGAATAAACTAAGACCGTTTTCCTTACAATCTTCTTAATCAGCAGAGCTATGCTTCTTGAAATTGTGGGGAGAGCGAACAGTCAGCCAGCACATTTTGGTTATGGCTGACTTGGATTCAGGGACTGACACTCAGAATTCTGGAACAAGTAATAATAAATACTGACAAGTTACCTCTTCGAGGGCTGGGAGGGAACTTTAAAAGTCTTATTGCTAAGAGACTACTTCTAAAAATCCGCTACCAATGACAGGTGATGGTGTTGAGGTGACTGCTGTCAAGGAAGGCCCAGAAACCCAGGCTGTGACACCTGGGGGCCACAGCCTGCATCATAATAGGGAGCAACTTGGGAATTCAGAGATTGGATGGGGGAAAGGCAGGTCCTGTTCTGATGAGAGAGAAGGAGGGAGAGCGGGAGAGTGTACAGGTGTGCATGATGACCTTGTTATAAATGGACATTCCCAAGATGAAAAAATGGATATAGCAATTTTCTTTACATCTGCAATTGCTTCAGGAGCCTTTTAAATACACTAGAAGGAGCAACAACAAAAAAAGCGTTTAGAAATAGAAATGCCACACACCCCACCAGCCAAGAGGCTCCAGGCTAGCAGACTACTCAGGAGCATGGAGCTGGTTTGTAAGTTCTGCAGACAGGTGCCTCTTACAACCTCACAACAGAGACTGTTCACTGGCAAATCTTTGGTCTACGCTCTTCACTACTGCTAAGCAGAAGAGAACGTTCTCTCTACAAAGACCCACAAGTAAAGCCTCAGTCTATCCTTATGTGCAAGTAACGATATCCCTGGACACGAACAGGAGCCAAGTGCATGAGGACGGACACGAAGTCTGCTAGACTCCTCACTGGCCTATCTCACTGTCTTCCCCTGCAAGAATGGAAAGAGATGCTGCACTTCGTCTGTTACCAAGGACCACGTCTAGAGGCTACTGCTGGGGCCTAAAGGTTGAGCAAGGTTCATACTGTTACAGTCACATGTAGCCACAATTCGACTCCCTTTATTAGAAGTATCATACTCACTTCATATCACAAATGTATAAAAATATGGCAGATAGTGTCATAACGATACTTTTCTTTAAAGGAATATATTTATAAAACAGACAGATATTTACCATATATATTTATATATAGAATAAAATACTCCTGATGCAATATATAAATGTTACTGTTTAGTTTTTATAGAAACTACTGTAGCTGTCCCACTGCTTCACAATGTTCCAAACAGCTCAAAATAACTTTACATTATAACAGAAAAGGTATGATTATAACAGTACAATATTCATTAATTATAAATAAATGTTACAAATCCTATCAAATATGGAAGTTTAGAAAACAATTTAAGACATACAGTTTATCTGCTAACCCTTCAAAGGGATATTCTTGGATTACAATAAACCCCACACTTAGTCTAGGCAGAAAAAAATATGTGGTAAGGGCATAGGTCAACATGGATTTTTCTACCCTTTGCAGTGCCAGGACGCTTCCTGGCTTCCCCAGCTTCCACAGAGATTGCACTACAGCGGGAACGGAAGCGGGAGACACTGGCAGCAGTTCCTGCTTCCTCCATGGCACACTCTCCATTCTCACACAAGACCTGCGGGGAGCCGCGCTGCCTCAGCTGCTCCCGTGGCTCTAAGATCCCTGACTAGCATTTGTGACTGTGAGGAGCCGGACGGCCCCGCACATACAATATTGCACACACCTTCATAAAGCTGAAAATGCTGGCTCACCACCCAGCCCGATCCCTGGCCCACCCCCACCCCAACCCTCCCCTCTCAACTGCCTTGTGGCCCCGCCTCCCCCCACCCCCCACCCCCACCAGGACAAATTACAAGGCTGTCTCTTTTAAATCGTTCAGGTTTGGCATTCGGGAGCGATTTGTTCTGTTATAAGGGTGCCCATTTGGCCCACTCTTGGCACCCAGCTGTTCAGAGTAGGAAGGTCCCTCTGTGGCACCCCTGGTCACAGCGGACACGTGCCAACCAGGATCCATCTGACCCGGCAGCTGGAGAGTTGGCCTGCCCTTTGGCGTGGGCTCCTGCCGGATGTTGCTACTCCCACCAGAGGCCTGGCTCAGGGGGTGAATCCGAATTTCTGAGAAGGAATTTTTGGCTTGCTGAGTTGTTAAGGGCTGGAAGCGGGGGTCTGAGGACGCCGGGTGATTGGAGGCTGAAGAGAGATGTAACAGCTTGCGCAGGGATTTTAGTGGCTGGCTCTGAAAGAAAGGATGAGAATGCACGGAGGGTTTAATTTAGAGTAGACCACAAAGCCGAGAGGAAACGGAGCTCACATCTGAGATGGCTGGGCAGAGTCGGGAAAGGCAAGCCCGTGGGAGGAGAGGCTGGACCAGCTGCATCTGCTCTCAAGGTTTCTTCAAACAAAATCAGAGTCATTTTCCTTCATGAAAGCAGCCAGATGCCTAGAGAAGACACCTGGAGCTGGCATGGCGCTGATCAAAGGCCCAGGCTCCTGCTACTTGGCTGCATCCTGTCTTTCTCATGGGATCTCATGATTTGACCAGCAGGCGTAGGAAAAACAACAGGAGGGAGGGCGGAGGGATATGTTTTCCCTGTTGAGAAGCCTTCCCCAAAGCGCCACATAATGGTTCCATTTAGATTTCACCGGCTAGAACCTAGGCATCGGACCATAACTAGCTGCAAGAGAAGCTGAAACGCATGTGATGTTGTAATTAGGTAGAAGTGAATTCGGCTAAAAATCGTATAGCCCTTTTTATTCTTATGTCCTCAGTTTTCCCTTTTCCTTAATATTACAAAATCTGAACATTCCCCTTGCTGCATTTGTACTTTATTTTTATTTTTTGGGAGTGGTGGTGGCAACACACAGTTTGGGCATTAATAATGCAAAGTACAGAGAACCAAGAAAAGATCCTACAGAACCTACAAGATAATTCCTTCATAGGAGGCCCTCAGTTGCTAACAGGGCTCACAGTGGCACTACCTGCCAGCATGTCTGTCCAACATGGTTGCTGGCCAAAAGTCCCCCAGAGGCCTGCACTGCAGAGGGAGACTGGCTTCCAAGCAGGAGGCCCAGTCGTGCAAGTGGTCTCACTAGCCAACTATTCTCAGGCAGCTGCTGAGCCTCCAGTTCCTCGGAGGTGAAAGGTGGCACATTCTCTTCCTCTTCCTGCACCTGAGGGTGTGTCAGGGTCATTGTCAGAAGAGATGTGCATAGCACTCACAACCAGTCCCTCCTGCTGGGCTCCCTCCGAGCACCTTTCCTCCGCATGTCATGGTACAAGGGACTTGCACTTAAGGGCTTGGCAAAGTCTGAATAAATACTGAAGATTCCAAGGAACACCGTAAAAATTGAAGGCACAGAGTGTTGAACTCCAAGGTAAATGGCTTGAGAACCGACTCATGTAGAAATCATTCCGAGGGAAGTATCTCCACCACCACTTCAATCTCTCCAAGAAATCTTTGAAGTCCCCGCAGGGGGACCCGTGGCACTCTGCACACTGAGTGTTCCAAAACGTTTGCTTTGCTTTGACTGTTTGTTTGCTTTTGGCATGACAGCACAATGAGACTCCTGTGCTTTTTACAGACCCTGACGGCATGCACTTGACTAACGGAGTGATTATAATAATCCACACTGGGCTGGAGATACAAAGTTACTAAGGGAGCTTCATGGCCAAAGAAATGCTTTCACAAAGAAGGTTCTAAAACCCCCCAGTTGTTTTCCACTTTCTTTCTTTTTTTAAAATTGGGACTATCGCATCAGGCCCTCACTCAGGGCCATGTGTTCTTGGTTTGGCTATGTTCCCAGTAAATTTGGATATGTGGTTCTCTACATTCCCTGTGCCCCTCAGTCTGTATGATATGAGAAGAAGAAGAAAATACAAATGGCTGGGAAAAGAGAAGGGCCATTTGAGGAACTCCTGTCAGCCGCTTTCAGTAACAGCTTACAGTTAGAACGAATGGAAAAACCCAAGAAAGGTGAACCTCCACCTTCCAAGTCACAGGTATTTGTGGTCATTTATAGGCACAAGTAACCCTACAGACTACAGAACTCATAAGGGCTGTCAGAAATTATAAAACACAGGAATAATGGCTTTATGAGATACTGCATATGATTAAAAACAAGGTACATTACATTATTATGCTCCTTAGGTGATACTGAAAAAATGCATTAAAATATTTCCAACCAAAATAGCTGTTTAACAGAAGATAAACCTCAGTCATCTGAGAAGTTTACTCATTCAGTTTATGCTTATTCTTCCATTGTGGCAGATAAATGTGTCTGTTACCATACTGTCTAATATGTAACTCCTAATGCAGCTGTCTGCCTGTTTTCTATCCAAAATAGTAAGGATTTCAGAAGCTAGAGTTTTCTTTCAATAGAGCTTACCATATCTGTCTTTCACGGTCCAATTCGTTTGCTACCACCTTCACCACAAACTTCATCTTCCCACCATCTCTGCTGATCTCCCCCAACACTTTATGGCACGACTCACTTTTTACCAAGAGGTACGGTTCTTTAGAGATCTTCTCTCTCTCCTGCGGTGTACAGTATTAGAGGGCTGGGACTATGTGTTCTATGTCCCCTTACCCCACCCCTCACCAGCCAGATGAAACCCAATGGAAGCTTGCCTTTTTCCCAGGACAGGGGTTACTGAAATAAGATCCATCCTGGCTCCCAAGATGCATTTGGCTATCAGTGAGTGTCCATTTAGGGGAGCTCTTGGTCTTGTAACATTGCAGGCTAAGTTACCTGCACCCAGCCCTCCCTTTAAAACAGACAGTCCCTACAGAGTCAGAAAGTCTAGGAGAGGTGCAGGCCCCACTTACTTGGGTCTGTAGATCCGAGATCTTCTCAGGGCGCCACTCCTTGGGTCTGCTGCTTGTAGTGCTAGCAGAGTGAATGGCTTTCTGTAATGTCAGAAGATCAGGGCCATCAGAATTGGGCACCTAGAGCAAAATATGGACAAAGATTCAAAAAGCATGCCAAGAAGCTGGGGTGAGATATACAACCACACCCAATAGGAGTACCAAACCAAAAAAGCAAATCCAACCAAACTAAAACTCAAACAAAAGTCCAATTAAAAAAAGAAACCCGAACTCTCCCAATGTTCAGAATGCAGGTGATGCTAGTTAAATTCTGCTGCCCTCTTAATAATTTTCCCTGCGTGAGGAAAAATTGGCAGATGTCATGCAGCTTTGTTAAAAACCTCAACCCTTAAAGCATTCCCATGCTGTTAGTTTTAGTTGCTGTAAGAGAGAGCAGTTAAATTGGGTTGTACCAGGAATTGCTGTCGTATCCTCATTTCATATTGCAGTTAGGTGACGAACCAGTTCAATAAAATAAAATTTTTTTTCCTGCTGGGAAGATGATCCAAACACCACATTTGGTGGAACCAAAGAAGTCTAGTAGGTTTTCAAGGAAAGCAAACTGGGGAAATATGGTTTGAATCATATTCCCAAACCCAGTAAATCCAGGTCTGGTGTTATACATCCTAGAGAATGCTGGAAATTTGCACCACAAATTCCAGAGGAATGCAATTGGTCTATTCACCAATTCTGGTGAACAAAGGAGACAAATGCCAAAGGCCAAGCAAAAGCTGTGGCTTTAAACTAAGTGACCAGCAAAAGCTAGAGCCAGGCAAGGAAAGAGCATGTTACCAACTAATAGAAGCTGTTTTTTTTTCATGGAGCCTGCTAGCTCACTCAATTTGGTCAATTCAACTTGGTTGCAAAGAAGCAAACTGCTAACCAAGTGTTAAACTCTGTGAGCCAAATGCAAAGATATTTTCTCATTATCAATGTCAATTTAATTCATTACAGGAAATAAGGGGTTTCATGAATGCTGTCTGCCAAGAATTGGCTAATCAGACAATCCAAACTAGCCTTTCACTAGTTTAGCAGATTTTATGCTTTGACATCCTTTAACCGGTTCAGAAAATTCAGAGTGTCAAAGGATTTATATGTCAGTGAATTTATGGAACTGGCTCAGGTACTTAACTAGCATAAAGAGAATATGACCCCATGAAAATAAGACATGCCGTTGTCATCAGTAAAACAAGTTTACTGGAGCAGTTTTCAGGACTACCATACGTAAAAATGGGTACCATGGGTGGAGTGACTACAGGAAGCTTTTTCAAAGAAGAACTATGCTTTAAATGATTCTTTGAATTAAAAAGAGGGAAGAGGGATTTCTTGATGCTTGGATTCTCCCCGGTGGTGGAATCTGTCTGCAATATAAGATAAAAATAAACTAATTGCAAAAAAAAAAAAAAAGCTTTTATTGAAACTACTAGCCCTTGGAAGCCCTCAAATAATTAAATATTAACAGTCACTGAAAAAAATCTCTGTGTTGTATATCTAGAGGGGTTTTGTGTCATTTCTTACCTGGACTTAATGATGTAAATTTAAGACAAATACAAACTTTTTCTAAGGCTATAACATACGGTCATGATCAGTACCTATAGCAGGGATGCCTAGAGATCTACACACATCTATTCACATGAAACTTACAAAACACCTAGGAATTTACTATCAGAAATATGATTATTATAAAGAATTCTATATAAGGAGCTACTAAGGAACTTCAATCTTCTCCTAATTGCTAAGGGGGACTTGAGCAACTAAAAAAATCTATCATGTAATCTGTCTAATCGGGGGGAAAAAGATACTGCAAATCCTTTTGAAACTGGTCAACTCTTGAACCAGAAAACATCACTTGGAAGAGGCATATATCATGATTGTGGGGTATCAACACTGAGTAAGAATCCTTGCTTCACACTGTTAGACATATTTACCCAGTGGAAAATATCCTGCACAATTCAGCATACTGGTTTGGAAGTCAAGAAACAGAAAGTTCAATCTATAAATTGAAGCATCATTACAAGTTGAGATACTAACTAACTAGGATACAATTACCAAGTTGGCAAAGTCACCATATGCTCCAAGGGCTTATGTAACTCTCTGGGTATGTAGCTGAAGCCAGATTTCCTAAGGCAGCTTCCAAATTTGCTTGAATCAAAGCAGGCACCTTTACAATACAGAATTATTTTGGGGCATCACTTTTCCCTGTTTTGGATTATTTCAATAGAGAAAACTAGAATGTGTATGGCTGTGTATATAAAGACATCTGAGTAAAATCCCCCATAAATTTCCTGTTCTAACGAAAAGAACCCCAGGAAGAGTGTAGCTTCCACTGCTCAAGAGGTCCAAATCGAGCTCCAGAGGCTCTCCACCGAAGCAGGCCCGCGGAACGGACTAAGCGTGGGCCTGGTTCTCAACTCAGGAGGAGCAGCTCTAGTTCTCCCACCAGACTGTATGCCTTTGGAAAGGTCAAAACTTGCTTGAATGCAGTTCCTACACTAGTGAAACAAAGGGGTTAAATGCGATTTAGGATCCACCTCCACTTTAAAATGTCAGGCTTCTCCTTGAGCACTGGGTATCAGATTCCAAGTTTTGTGAATCTTATGCAAAGGCTACAATGCCTTACATCTTTCAAAGCTTGTTTTATTTAGATTCCTTTTGCTGGGTTCTAGCAAGTGAAAAGAAAAAAAATTAACTTTAATTATGTTTAAAAGCTCAAAGAAGGCAGAGTTAACTCCAAAGCAGGCTTAGGAGCCTGAGGCATGGCAGGCTGTCCTGAGCACTCTTTGGAAATCTGACTCTAGAGCCCAAAGTTCTTCTATTTCTTTTTCTTTTAATTAAAAAAATGCAGAGGTACAAACAACTTTGAGTTGGAAGGCTTAAGGCATTACAGCCTGTGCAGAGATATTCTGTAGCTATTCTGCATATTAAAAATGAAACTGAGGAAAACTCAATAAAAAGATTAAGTGGATGGAAAGGATGCTAGGGAATAGTACTTCTCCTATCTGCTCCAATCTCCAACACTGATATAACATTTGACTCAAACCCTGAATAAAGTCAGTCAACAGGTATATATACTCTATTTGTGCTGTGGTGGGTCGGCGGCTTCAGGGTTAATGCTGGGCAAAGGCAGACAGACATCGAAATCTAAACCTATGCACAAAAACACTCTCAATTCCTTCTCCCTTACTACTTTCTATCACTTAATCCCCTCACAATGGCTGTAGACCTGTGGTTAAGAATAAAAATCCTGAAATCAAAATGACAGTGGTCAGGAGGAGGTAGATAAACACATTCTACAGTGATAAAAGCTTTATATTAGCACCTTAAATATTTTAAATGTTCCTAGGTTAAATCAAGTCTACAAGTATTTGTTCATCGAGTCTAAATAGCAAATGTAGTAATATCTGACTGAAGAGCATTTTGACTTCACATTCTGTTTTAAGTGAGTTTCAGTTAGATACAGGTTTTTAAAAGCTCATTTTAATATTATGCAGCCACTAAAATGAAGAAAGTTAAGTTTGTGTAGTACGATATATATGTAGATATACTATTAAAAGGAAGAATACAAAATTGTACTAAAATTATTACTATTACTTAAACTAAAAGAAAATCCAAAATCCCCCACCTTCTTTCCACAAACACATGCACAGGCTAAAAAGCGAGGAGGAAATACTTCCGAACCCTAGTACTATTTGTGGCAAGCTGTTAAGCTCAAAAATGATCTTATTCTCAATTTTTCTGTAATGAGCTTATATTTATCTAATAATTGAATGTATGAAGTTACTAAGTAAGTGAAAGAAGTGTCATGTAAGGGTAATCTAGGGAGATTAACACTGCTAGAACATATTAAGACAAAAATCTCTACTTTGAGTTACTCTACACTTTTTCACTATCTTCTCCCTCATTTTTACTTACCACTGAGTCACAATCTTAGAATTTTCATCCTGGAAAGGGCCTCAGAAACACGGTCTAATCAACTCATCTTACAGATGCAATCAATGAACTCCATCTGAACAGGCCATTTTGATTATGGCTTTTCCTCTTCAAATACATGAGAGTAAATCATGTATGAAGTGAAACTAGAAGCACACATTTAAAATGGCTAACTCAACTTTGCCTCGTCTGGAAGGTGTCAGAAAGCCAAGGGAGCGACTGTTTGCTCCTGTCACTAGCAGCAGAATCCTGGCTTGGCTGGGTGAGTGGAGTGAGGCCCATGGTTCCCGGGAGCCAGCCCTTTGTTCAGGCAGAGCGCTCGCAGGAGATAAGGTGGAGTCCTTCTCACAGTGCAATCACAGGGGAAGCATGTTCTCGTAGGAAAGCAAGCCCTGAAATGTCACACACAATCTTCTCTGTGACTAAACGGCCCAGAGACACACTTGTAAACACGGGGATTCTACAACTAGCCAGCTAAGAATAAGGAATGGTGATTATTATGAATTTCAAGATTTAAATGTAAACCAAAACCATTTCCTAAGTTTTTGTGTATCGTTAAGCCCCCAAAGAGAAACAAATCCCATTTCTTCATAGGTTTTTAAACGAATATAAATCCACATGAATAAGAAGTTTATTGAGAAAGGTTTTAAGTGTTCCCTCTCATCCAAATGAAATTTCTTCTATTCCTGGAGATTTTCTGCTAAATCCAGAAAAAGCTCTGTGAGACGAGCACAGTTGTTCAGAATTTCAGAAAGAGACATACACAGTCTATACATGTCAAGTCTCAGTAGGAAAAGAACTCACTTTGATTGCCACGTACAATGCATAAAGCACCCACAGAATACAGCAGAAACATATGCCATTACGTGTGCAAAGTGGCTAGGTACTTACTGCTTGAGATTTCTTCTTTTTCTTTTTCATTGACCTGAAAAAGCCTTGCTTCTCCTTCTCCTTGAGTTGTTCGGAGTGACTAATATTTTCGGGACTTTTCCTAAATGAGAAGACATTTTTATCATATTGCTCTTTTTGATCATTTTCTTGCCAATGTGAGAACAGGAAGAGTGAAAAGGCATGCCACCAGGGTCAGACAGCCTTGTAGAGCCAAGCACACAGGTAAAGAGCCTCCAAAACAGCACAGGAGGAGCTGAATTTAATCAACCGTGGTTAATGATTATCCTTTGGCACAGGCTCACTCAAACTAGCAATTTGCGCATTATCACAAATGATCTGTGACTGTGCTGCAGGACCATTTTCCGCTGTTGAAAACCTCAGAGCTAGAGATTCTGAAAAGTGCATGCTTAAAGGATGCTTTTTCAGTAACCCTCTGAGAGAAAGAGCAGAGTTTCCACACCTTTATTTTTCTATTTACGTTTTTAAAACCAGCCCCACAGGGTTATTATTAGTTGCTTGCCAAGATATCGAACCTAAAAAATCAATGCTGCTATGGAAACATTATAAGTAAAAACTGTCTGAAACTGGAAATTAAGCCTTTTATCTATTCATTAAAATGAAATAAGAAAGTTTAAAAACTGCAGACAGCCCGAATGTTTTCCTACAAGGCACTCATGAAAAAAAACAGCTTCTAACTGAAAATACTGCCACAGAGCTAAATGCCACTGACACCACCAGGCATTTTAATAAAAATAGACGACATTAAAAGATGGGAAAAAGGACACCTTGGCCTCGCAAGCTGGTTACTTGTGTGTTAAAAGGAGACCTATATTACTTAATTTAACCTACACTCTTTAAAAAGCAACTCAGCTGGTGTTATTCCTGAAAAAAATATACGACTGTGGAAAGTCGTTTTCTCAAGAGACCGGATTTTTTTATTAGCTATTTCCTAAAATCAAGAGTTAAAACTGATATGATTAATTCAGATTTATGGCTTTAGAATACCATAACATGATGACGTTACTAAAATATCTAAGAAAATATGAGCGAAGCAGCATTTTGCTCTAACTTGAACCACAGAAGTAAGACTCCTAGGATTGAAAGGAGCCTCAGAGAGCATCTAGCGCAACCAGCAATACTACTGTTAATACTCTGTAACTTCCAGAAGCGAACGAACGCCGTGCTCAGGATACAGCTAGCATCCTTCCGTAACGGCGCCTATATATGATATAGGAACACAACAGAACATTCCCATTGATGGGTAAACTGCCAAAGGTGTGCTGAGGGTAAGAGCACTTTCTGCCAGTCCAGCACATCTTTGAGGGGAACATGGTGCTGTGAGAATGCTCATGGTGGCACCAGAGCAAATGAAGCCTTAAGCCGCCCACCCTAGGAGGTGTGGTGGATTCTGTGTGGGAAGAGAATGCATCCAAGATGAAGCGGAGAATAAGAGGAGAGGAGAGTAAGCAAAGAGAAGGGAGCAGGAAAGTCAGCTCAGTGTTTGCATTTTGGGTCGCTGCAGTGCTGGGTCCCCCACACACAGGGGAGATGGGCCTCAGACTGCTCTCTTCAGAGGCACGGGACACCTACAGAGAGTCCAGGGGGAGCAGGAAGAATGAGGAGGAGACATTTTCAAGCTGAAGCCGAGCAGAGATGGAAGGTCTAAGATCCGAGCAGAGAAAGAGCACAGAGGCCAAAAGCAAAAAGGAAATGAATTGCCCTTGAACGAGAGGTGGAAAGCTAACAGTCGAGCTGAGTATGACTGCATGGCAAAAGACGGAGAGGGAGTCAGAGAGGAGAAAGGGAGGGAGACACACATAAGGAAAAAACAAAGTGAGGGAGAAACAATGCGGAAACATACGTCCCCAGAGAATCAACAGAGAAACAGAAGGGAGAAGAGTGGGCGAGACACAGGGCTGCAACGTGAAAAGTCGTGTGACGTACAAAGGCATGAAGGAGCTTTGGGCTTGGGCAAGTGGCACCACGCCAAATGCACAAGAGTGTGGCAGTCACTCTGGCCCCACCGCCTCACACTCACCTGGTACAGCCAGCAGCTGTGTGCTGAGCAGGCAAAAAGGAGCTGTGCAGGGGAAGGGTAAACTAGGGGTTTGCATAAATCTCAGAGATGGAAGATTTAAGAAAGATCACCAATCCAATCACCTGACCCATTATCTCGGGCAGCAGCTGTGATCAAGAGTACAGGCTGGGGCCAGCGCTGGGGAATAGAGGATTAAGCTGCTGCCTGTGGTGCCAGCCTTCTGTATGGGCGCCAGTTAGAGTCCTGGCTGCTCCACTTCCGATCTAGCTCCCTGATAATGCGCCTGGGAAAGCAGCAGAAGATGGCCCAAGTCCTTGGGCCCCTGCACCCATGTGAGAGACCCGGAAGAAGCTTCTGGCTCCCGTCTTCAGCCTGGTCCAATGCTGCCTGTTGCGGCCATTTGAAGAGTGAACCAGTGGATGGAAGAACATCGCCATCTCTCCCTTTCTCTCTGTAACTCTTTCAAATAAAATAAATAAGTCTTAAAAAAAAAAAACAGTACAGGCAGAGGAGGCAGGGGACAAGGGGTATAAACAGGCACCTTCCCACGCAGGGCACTCTGACTTTATCTAATACAAGAGGTACTTCAAGAGGGTCAAGAGGAAAGACAGAATCCCAAAGATTCAAATAAATGAAAGAATTCAAGTGGTCTTAATCAAGAGTCAACCAACATGGACCGAGTATTTTACAAGTGCCAGGCCCAGTGTTAGCTGCTGGAGACACAGAAAACATTAAAACATTCACTTAAGCCACTCACAGATTCACAGAAAGTGGGCCAAGATAAGACATAGAGATTTGACAGCTAGGGACCAAACAGGCAGTGGGGTCAGACAGCAGGGCTGGGACTTTAGCAGCATAATCCCTTGGGAGCATGGTAGCAGGTGACTTGAAGAGATGAGGCGCATTATTCTGTGACACTTCCACCACCACCACCCCTTCTCTGGCAGTGTGACTAGGGTAGTTGGCCAGTATCTGAGAAGAGAGAGTCAGTGAATAGTTCTATGGAGTAATTCTGCAAGTTATGGTACCAAGCATTGACAGATACCAATACAGTGATCACTTTATAAGGAAAAAATAAGAGTGGGACTACAAGAGTGAGTTGTAGCAATTCTTCACTCATTGTAACTACTGGGATTTCAAACTAATTTGGTTTACTGTGTAAGCATCAATTTTTAAGCCTTTTGAAATGCTTTATACACTGACTTTTTAAGCAAAGTAGAAGCCATTTATTTTCTAACTATACACTCTACACGGATATCTATGATGTGTATGATTTTCCCACTAGAGGCCTGAGAAAAGACAGAAACACCTGCTGCTCTGCACAGCTCATTCTTTGCCTGCACACTGTATTCTTACCTGGCACTATTTCTTGCCCTTACACCCTCAGTGCCAAACACTAGAACTGGGCATAAAAGAACAGACAGAATCTAAGTGAGGACGGAGGTGTCATCCTATCATAAAGATGATGAATCTGACTCAATAAGTCTATTTTTCATGTTCTGAGATATTTTTGGCTTATCTCCAGTTCTTAAGTGTATTCTTAATTGAGATAGCCAAAATAACAGCTTTGGATATTATACTACAATATATACTTATCACTTTAAAATATGACATAGTAGTTTGATTTTTCCATGACCAGAATTGGGGACACTGCATAAATATTCTCTTCTTGCCATCAAGGAGAAACAGCGTGGCCTTAGGTTACGTGCTAATTTGGGACCATCAACTCGTTATGTCACCATAACAAGACTCTTTTGTGTTTTTGTAAGAGTTATCAAATGTGCATTTCTCTCACATATAAAGACTATGGTCAAACAATTAGAGATTTTTCTTCAAGAAAAAAAATCCAGGTGTGTCAAGTTTAATTTATGACTTAGACTAAGTTCAATATGATACAAGAAGGAGAAGCATAATAGAGCATTATCATTAGGGGGAGTAGGAGCAAAAGAATAGGGTCAATTCATCATTGACAAACTGGAACTCTCTCAATTCTCATCACTACAATACTAGAATAAGGACGACCTGATGAAGGGTGGACTGAAGTTCAACATCGCATTCATACCTCTGATGCCTTTTAAAACAACTGTTTTCTGGTTTCTACATATATCCATAGTAAACAAATTCTACTCAGAAAGACAGAAATAGTACATTACTAATGCATACCTACATTCAGATTTAATTTTGGTTTGTCCTACCTAATTTTCACAGGACTACCTATAGTTTGTAATTGATAATCTTCTAAACCGTCACCACTTCTTTATGTAATGACCAAGAGAGAATCAATCCTTTCTGTACTTCTATACTGTCACCATTAAGAAACTATTTTCATAGCTTCTCAAAGTCACACCTGAAAAGAGTCAACACTGGTAACTAAACGGAGCTGTGCCTATGCTTTTAGGTTAATGCACAGCAGTCTTCCCTACATAACATGGGAGGAGAAAATAGTCACAGGAGGAAGAACATGCCAAAGGAAGAACATGCAAACTAAAGCGAAGGGAAACACCTGATAAGCCATACTGAAGTCGGATGACCTAAATAGTAACTGCAGCCACTAACATTTTGATTGCTTGACTCACTTGAAAGGCAGAGAGAGAGAGAGAGAGAGAGAGAAAGTCTCCATCTACTGGTTCACTCCCCAAATGCGACAACAGTCAGGACAGGGCTGAGGCTTAAGCCAGGAGCCAAGAACTTAATCCAGGTTTCCCATGTGGGTGGCAAGGACCCAACAACAATTTGGGCTACCACTACTGCCTCCCAGGGTCTGCATTTGTAGGAAACTGGAAGTCAGGAGGTGGAGGTGGGTATTGAATCCAGGCAATCCAATTTGGGAGGCAGGCATCTCAACTGGTAAGGCTAAACGCCCACCCCACTGTGGTTAACACTGATGAGCGCTTGTGGTGCCAGGCCCTGTCCTACGTGTTTTTTTATGTACTACCTCATTTAATTGTCACATGAACCCTATAGAGGAGGCATTATTCTCAGCCCTATTTTACAGATAGGGAAACAGATAAAATCATATGGCTAACACTTGACATCAATCAAGATACTGTATTCCAGAGTCTAAACTCTTAGTCACTAATGTCAACTCTATTTCATTTAACAAAAAGATAGTGGACTGGGGCTGGCGTTGTGGCACAAAGGGTTAAGTGATGCCAGAATCCCATATGAGCACAGGTTTGAGTACTGGCTGCGCCACTTCTGATCCAGCTTCCTGCTAATGTGCCTGGGAAAGCAGTGGAAGATGGCCCAAGTTCTTGGGCCCCTGCCACCCATGTGGGAGACCTGGATGAAGCTCCTGGCTCTTGGCTTCAGCCTGACCTAGCCCTGACCATAGTGGCCATTGGGGTGTGAACCAGTGGATTGAAGATCTAACTCCACCTTTTGAATGAATAAACAAACAAACAAATAAATAATGTTTTCTTAAAAGGTAATGGATATAAAGTAAGTTTATGTAGAAAAAGTATATTTATAGCTTTTGAAAAGTTATTTTTAATATTTTTAAAGATTTATTTATTTGAGAGGCGGAGTTACAGACAGAGAGAGGGAGAGACAGAGAAAGGTCTTCCCTCTGCTGTTTCCCTCCCCAAATGGCCACAAAAGCCAGAGCTGGGCTGATCTGTGAAGCCAGAAGCCAGAAGCCACTTCTAGGTCTCCCACATGGGTACAGGGGCCCAAGCATTTGGGCCATATTCTACTGCTTTCTCAGGCCATAGCAGAGAGCCAGAATGGAAGAGGAGCAGCCAGGATATAAACTGGCACCCATATGGGATGAAGGCACCACAGGTGGAGTCTTAACCCACTATGACATAGCACCAGCCCCAATATTGTTGTTTTAAGCATTAAGTAATTTTCACATTAGGGCACAATAATACTAAAACTTTGATCTAACCCTGTAAATGTTACCAACACAAAGTCATTCCTCTACTTCTGGCAACAAACAGCAGGGAAAGACGCTAAGAGGCTGGTCTTAAGACTAAATTTGGTGATGTACCCATTTTATTCTCTTGGTGGAGGACTTAATGAAGTTCTATGAAGTGCACATAAACACCTCTTATATCTAAATAGGTAGTCTTTCACTCAAGCAGCGGGGAATAAAAGTGTACACTGTTATCGTAGAAAAAAGTCCTTACACCCCACACATATCTGCTAATGGAACTTGATATACACTGTAATTCTCTCTAGAATTTTATAAGGACAAAAAAAGATAAAAGGATAAGTTTCCACATCATTTATACCTCTGACCACCATTATGCTTTTATGGTAGTGTAAAGAGCTGTTCCCTTATTTCTTTTTACCCTAATGCAAATCAGATGGTACAGAAGTAAATGCCAGGAGATTTGGAGTCAGAACCCATTAGGGTCTGAATCCTGGCTCCCTCCTTCATGTTACAGGCTGTGCAACACCAAACAAGTTCCTTGACTTTTCTAAGTTTCAGTTTCCTCATTTGTAGAATGGCAGGAGCCTCTACTTCAAAAGATAATGGTGAGAACTGAGACAACGTACACAATGCACACAAAGCATTAAGAAAAGTATCTATATGAGGTTCAACCTCAATAAAGGGAGACCTCAAAAACCACCATTTATGACAGACAAATGCAAAGGAAGATTTATGAGATATTTATTGATCCGGGAGGTTGTTTTTATTTTATGCAATATTTAATGTGAAGGCTGAACTTGTAAAAAGTTCACAAATATTGAGAAGTCATATTTCCTGATCTAGCAATCTTTCTTGAGAAAAGAAGGAATAACAGGAGAAAGAACAGTAAAAAAGCTTACATAAAAATTCTTTGAACTCTTAAATCTACAATTAGAAAAAAGAAGAGTAAAAAGAAACCAAAATACTCACCATGGATCAAATGCTGTTTGTCTTTTTGAATGGTTAGTTCCAGAACTGCTCTCAGATGGTAGGGAAGAGACTCTAGTTGACACATTATTTTCATGAAAAGAATTGTCTGGGCGTGGTGATGGCACTAAAAGAAAAAAATGAGTCCCTGATGTATAATTTTGGTCAAAGCAGTTCTCACATTATTCTACATTTTCTCGAGCACACATTGTATGAATGCTCAATCTGCTTTTGCTATTACTTCTGTGTTTTCTGAGGGTGGAGGTGTTCTAGGCAACATTCCTCCTCCCCCACTGCTTCCACATTAACCTGCAAAGGTCAGCTAATACCAGGCAATAGGTATTCAAAATAGAAACCTGAGCTGTCTGCTGATAAACTGGAGAACATATTTTAAACTGTGAATATCATTACCCTCACCACCACCCTCTGCCACTCTTTTGACATTTTTTGAAGTTAAAGCTTTCTTACCATAGACTCAACCATGCAAAATCTATTCTTAGTCTCAAGTAATTTTTAACAATATGTGAGCTGGAAGGTACAAGCCATGGTTTAAGTCTTGATGTTTGAGAGACAGCATCACTCATATATTTTTTAAACAAAATTACAAAGAAATCTGATTATTTTCCCAAAACATATTTCTCTGAATTCTTACTTCAAAAATGAACAGAGAGGCTGGAGGTGTGGCACAGCGGGTTAAGCCACTGCTTGCAATGCCGGCATCCCACACTGGAACACTGGCTTGAGTCCCTGCAGCTCCACGTCCAGCCCAACACCCTGCTGATGCACCTAAGAAGGCAGCAAAGATGGCCTAAATACTTGGGCCTCTGCCATCCTTGTGGGAGATTCAGATTGAGTTCCCAGTTCCTAGTTTCAGCCTGGCCCAGCCCTGACCTTTGTTACCAACTGAACCAGTGGATGGAAGTGATCCAGCAGATGGAGGATCTCTCTCTCTTCTCCTTCTCTCCCTTCCTCCCTCTCTCTGTCACTCTGCCTTTCAAATAAATCTTTAAAAAGAAAATGAAAAACAAAAAAAGCGATAATGTATGGAAGTAAATACTTGTCTGTTTTGAAGGGGTGGATGGGGTGGGTGGTCACTAACTTTTTCTGTCTTTATAAGCTTGGTCATAAATCAGAATATATTCCAAATTTCATCATAAAAAGAACAGGACTATATTAATAGACTATATATCAACAGAAATGACACCAATTCACTTGACTTTTGATCAGCAGGAACAAAGACAGGAACGATTCCATAAAAGAGGTCATTTCAATGATGCCACTCAATCTTCCTCTAGGACTTAGTGGTATCATTGAAATGACAGATGTCTCCGGATGTTTCATCTAGTTAAAACTTTTCCTTCTATTTATGAGGATTTTTTTTTTAAAAGATTTATTTATGTATTTATTTGAAGGGCAGAGTTACAGAGAGATCTTCCATCTACTGGTTCACTCCCCGAATGGCTGTAATGGCCAGGGCTGGGCCGTGCCAAACCCAGGAGCCTGGAACTCCATCTGCATCTATCACATGGGTGACAGGGGTCTAAATACCTGGGCCATTATCTGCTGCCTTCCCAGGTGCATTAGCAGGGAGCTGGATCAGACTGTGGAGCAGCCGGGGCTCAAACTGGCACTTATATGGGATACTGGTGTTGCAGGTGTCCATTTAACCTACTGTACCACAATGCCGGCCCCTATTTGTTGAGTTTTTAAAAATTAAAATGTTCTACGTGCCAAATCTTGAAGTGGATTATGAGGTAGACAAATGAGCTGTTTCTCTGATATTAACCAGTTTAAACCACTTGCAATCAAAATTAAAACTGTGTTTCCAGAGGTCCAAGACTAATTAATTTGCAACTCCATTAGCATTTTATATTAAAGTATATTCTCTAGCCATCTATAGAAATAACAAGGGTATAATACATTTTAGAAGTAAAACTTAAAACTGACAGCAGAAAAGGTTTTTGCTCATATATATTACAACATTTTGTTTTAATTATCTTAAATGCAAATTAAAAGTTTAGTCCCATAAGATTCTAAAGTAATCATGGTATCAGAAATAGATAAATGCATTACAAGGCACATTCAGGGCCTTATGTGCTCTCCACAGGGGGGGTGGCAGGGAAGAGAAGAGCCTAATCAGTTAATGCACATTAGTCCTGACTCACAGTTCTTCTGCATTCAGCTCAGGTTCCTAATGAAAATGACCAAGCAATTCTCCATGTTCTCCACTGCACCCCCTCCCCCCAATTCATGCCCCTTTCCAGCTGTCTTAAAACAACGGAAATAGCTAAAGGTCATGCCATATGGGCACAAGTGGCTAGGGAAGGCTGTGGTGACTCTAGAAAGCTTGTTAAATCTGAGCCTCCTGACCCCAGGGCCTTGCTCCTACTCTGTGGGCTTGGTGTACACTTCCTGCTAGGGTCCTAGGATTCCCAAGGGTTTTGCGGTCCTACTATTACAGTTACTCAAAAGGGCTGCCTTTCTCAACCAATGTCTCTAAAGCTCATACAACCTCCAAAGCATCCCTTTTGGTCATCTGTTAAATATCAAAGTGCATTTTTAAGGCTATGCAAGTATACTTGATATTTTTTCATTCAGTGAACGAATCAAATACATATTTATGCAATGGCACCAGGCAGTGTGCTAGTTCATGAGAGTCCAAAGAGGAAAAGATGAAAAGAATCCCATATGTTTGAAAGGCTCACAACCTTGAGAGGGAGATGCAGACACAGAATCAGTACAATGAGGTCAGTGTTGTATAAGAGGCATAGACAAGGTACCACGGGCAGAAAAGAGAGGGAAATGCTCCCCTTAGTCTGGGATGGGCAATGAAGTCAACACTGGAGAGCAACTTACAGAAACGGACAGAAACAAGCTGTCCCAGCAAAAGAAGAGTGTGTTTCAGGTCAGAGGAGGGCACAGTCTGTCTGAGTTCCACAGACAGGGCACCAGAGAGACTTGGAAGGTAGGAGAAGAGGATCAGAGTCAGACCACGGAAAGTCCAGAATGTCATCTTAGGGAATTCAGATTTTGTCCTGATGCCAATGGGAAGTCAGCAAAGGCCTCTCAATGGGTGAGGGCTAGGGTACTGAGTGTGGGCCAGTGGGGGACAACGGCTTGTTGTTCTCTATTCATTTTGCCTGTAGTGCTTAGAGTATCTTTGATTGTTCTGTAGAATGATTAAGTTTACTGGCAATCTCTCCTCTAGAGTGTGAGCTCTGTGGGAATGGAGATCTTTGGCTGTTTTGGCTACAGTAATGCCAAGCAAATGGGTGACTACGTTAAATGGTCTAAGGCTTAACCGAATGAACGAGTGGTATGGTGAGAACAGTTTCAGGAGGACCATTCCAGTGACTGCTCTGATGGGGACCTTAGGGACAGGGAGGCAGCTAGGAGGCTACTCAAGGAAGCACGCTGGAAGCTAGGAGGGCTTCAGTGGGACCAGAGGTGGGAAACCTGTTGGGAGGCCACTGTGTGGCAAGAATGCTGTTGATCTAAAGTCAGTCAGGGCAGTGAAGAGGTAGTAGAGAGCATGGGCCAGGGATGGCAAGAAAGAGGGAGGAGGGGAGCACCCTGGTGAGTGCTGGCGACAGGCTTACCTCTGTAAAAGCTACCAACTCTTCTGGGGACAGGGTCATTGTACAGATGTCGATTTTCTTTGGGGGCTGTGCCGTCATCGGAGTGTGGGTCATGATACACTCCACCCTGAGGCAGGAAACACGTTTATGTAAATTAAACCACAGATTCATCACAATGGTGCCTACAAACTTAGAGCAGAGCCTAATCAATCTATCATTTACTCAAAGATCTTTTTAAAAAGAAACCCTGAGACCCTGCCATGAGAAAAACAACTTACTTTATAAGCCAGTGCAATTGGGGGGGGGGGGAGGCTGGACATAAATAAATTTTAAAAGCTAGGCTGTAATGCTGTTGAATGAACAATCTCTGTGGACACATCTTAACAGACACTGTAATAATTCCAAAGAACTCAGACCTCAGACTTCTGCCGAGCATGGAAAGATGCAGTGCCTTCTCTGGAGGACTCTTTAACGGAAGGTCTGGCCACGGTCATCTCTGGAGGGAGCTGCTCTCCAGGCTGCAAGTGAAATTTTAAGAGAACTTAGAAAAGCATCCTATTCCTATGCATGAAAATCATGCTTTTATTTGGTGGAAGTGGCTAAAATAAAAATAAAAAATGTTAGTTAGCTAAAATAAAAATTGACCCAGAAAGAGCCAATCATCTAGTGAACTTAAAATAAGTCAAATTTCACCGATATGGAAACTAAAGTTCTCATCAAAGTTAAGGCAAGCAAGGGAAAAATGGATCTGATAATAGTTCAATTAATTATTGAAAACAAGAAAAACCATCTTCCTACTATCTAGACAGTCATGGCTCTTGAGTGGCACTCTGATCATAGATTCTATTAGCTAATCCAAAATCTCTGTAGCAGATTTTAGGCTAAGTTCTCCAAAACAGACTGTGCAGACACAAAAGTATTTTTGAAGGACTTATATGGCAGTTCCCGCTGAAAACAAATTTTTCTTAAATGTATCAAGGAATAGAATAAGTCTTCCTCATAATTTTTGTCTGAAATGTCCTAAGTACTCTAGTTCATGTGCTTAAGCCCTCAATCTTCTCTGGGATGAGAACATTTATGTATTGTGTACTTTCTGAACCACAGTCATGAGTGCTCATCTGTAGCGCCACTACCATTCCCAACTCGCTCGAGGAAGTGAGTCACAACCTAAGAACAGCATCCGGGCCACAGGGCTGCTCACTGAGTGGGGGAAATGGAGCATTTCCCACTCTTGGAGAAAAAGATTAAGGAAGAAGGCATTAGGAGGAGTTAGCGGCAGTTGTGTATCTGCACGTGACACATAGAATACTATCTAAAGCCTCTGTGATATATCCAGAGTATTTTATTTAAAATTCAAAATGCCATGCCATCTTTCTCCTCTCACTCCTCAAATGCTGAGCAGGGATGCATGCGGCGCAGGCTTTCTTCTGCCAAGACCTCATTTGACTGTTACCACTTGTATTGTTAACAAAAGCCTCTAGGAAAGTAGAGCAGAAAACAAACAGTTGGGAGGTGGCGTTTGGTCTAGCGGTTAAGAAGCCACTTGGGATACCCACACCCCCTGTCAGAGTCCCGATTCCAGCTTCCTGCTAATGTCCACTTCACGGCTCAATTACTTGAGTCCCTGCCCCATGTGGGAGACCTGGAACTGAGTTCCTGGTTACTCACTTTGGCCTGTCCTAGCCCTGGCTACTGCAGGCATTTGGAGACTAAACCAGCAGATGACAGATCTGTCTCTCCCTCAGACTCTCTGGCTGTCAAGCAAATAAAAAAAATTTATTTAAAGGAAAACAAATTGTTTACATCTAACCTAAACTCAATTAAGATTCCCGGCCGGTGCCACGGCTCACAAGGCTAATCCTCCACCTGTGGCGCCGGCACCCCGGGTTCTAGTCCTGGTCGGGGCGCCGGATTCTGTCCCGGCTGCTCCTCTTCCAGTCCAGCTCTCTGCTGTGGCCCAGGAAGGCAGTGGAGGATGGCCCAAGTGCTTGGGCCCTGCACCCGCATGGGAGACCAGGAGAAGCACCTGGCTCCTGGCTTCAGATCGGTGCAGCGCCAGCCGTAGGGGCCATTTGGGGGGTGAACCAACGGAAGGAAGGCCTTTTTCTCTCTCTTTTACTAACTCTGCCTGTCAAAAAAAAAAAAAAAAAAGATTCCCTGTGCTTTTGAAGTTGGCCACAGTACTTTGCATGAGACAATCCTATGATTCGCTCAAGGCTTGTGTTCATTTCCAAGCTTGCCATCCTTTTTGAACCTTTCAACGTGCGTGGATTTTCTTACAGCTCGGCACTGTACCTCCTGATTGGACTTCAGGTTCAGTTAATGGTTGGATCTATGCTTAGCCCACAGTAATTGCCACCATGTTCACAAAAATCCTTTCTCTGGAGTTCTCAGAGAGCTGGACTTTCTTCCTTCTTCTCTCTTTACACTATGCTTAATGCAAGGATGCGTTAGCTAGCATTGACCTCTGCCTCCTGTCTCTGAGCAGCTGCCAGGATCCAGAGATCTTTCTAGGCTCTAGAGGATCTCTCTTCCCTACAGTGACTCTTCAGGGGAGCCCACTCATGACTCCACTGATGGCTGTCACAGATGTGCACCTCCTGCCCTCTCCTCTCTCTCACCTGATGCTGGATGGACTTCCCAGCCTCTGAGAGCACACCTCTGCCTGGGGGCCCACAGCCGCTTCGCCCTCAACAGGTCAGCGGGGTATGGGTAAAGGAGCTCTGACTGCAGCACCTGGAAGCTGCCTCACACCCCAGTTCCAACCTCAACTAGCTGGGTAAACACTCTCAGCCTCAGCTTGCTCATCTGTGAAATGAAGGGGCTGAATGAGGTAGCTTCAAAATGCTCTCTTCCACTCTGGAAAGGAACTCCTAAGACAAAAATCTCAAAGTCTTTTTCCTCTGCTCAATCCTTCAACCCACAAGTCCTACTGTTTCTCCTTCTGACCCACTCTGTTTTTCTACCAGCGTTCACTTAATCCACAACACAGTCTACTCACCTCATGCTTGAGTTACTATAAAAGCCACTCCAAATCTTGGATTTTTGACTCCAACACGGTGAAACGTTGCAATCCCCAAAGCATGCTATGCTATTTCACAACCCTAAAATCCTCCTCTCCCTGCGATGCCCTCTTGTGCCCTCCCTTCAAGTTTCTTTCCTGATGTGAGCATCACTTTCTTCCCTGAGTAAATCCTCTGGAAAAATCTTGGTTCAGATGCCACCTCCTCTGAGAGGCTCCCACAACGGCTTCCCGACTGTCACAGCGGCCGCCACGGGGTCTCACAGCAGCAGAACAACTGGACTGCTGGCAATGTCCCACAGCAGCCCATCCGCTCCAGGGGGACAGGGCCTCCTCTGCTCTTCTTTTCAGCTAGGCCTCCCAGGGCGCCTCACATGTCCACTGCCAGCCGGCCAGCCAGAGCGTGCCTCTACAGCTTAGCCTGCAGCATGAGGCTCAGTGGCCCCTACAGTCATTTCTGACTGCTCCTGCTCCCAGTGACCTCTCCCATTCTCAACTCCTATTTATAGTCAGTGCCATCCTAAGTTAGGTCACAATTATTTCATACATAATTTAATCCTCCCTGAGAGAAGTTTCTGAAGGGCAAGGGCCCTATCTCAGACCCTTCTGAGGGCCTGGAAACACCAAGCAGAGAGCTGCTCTCCAGCCCCCAGCACCAAGGAAGCAAGAGCAACACCTGAAATCTGAGACACTTACGCTGTGCTGGCACTGGGCACAGCGCTCTGCACAGAATCATGAAAATATGACTCAGGACACATTCTAGAGTAAGAATGGGACTTCGAAGCAGGTCACTGTCAGTGCCAGAGTCCGACAACCAGTAAGACAGAAGAAGCGGTAAGCTAGAGTATTGCCTTAAAATTGAAAAACAATCCAAAAGATTGAAAATTAACATTTAGCCGGGCCTGAAGTTCAATTTACCTATAGTTCTAGAAAAAATTAAAAAATTCATTAAACTCAGTTAAGATACTAAGGTATTAGCAAAAAGGTTTGACTTAAGCAATATGGTTTATAGTGATTAGAGAAAATACCCATGGAACACTGGATTTTGAGAAAACTAAAAAGTAACTCATATACTAATGAACACTGTAATAAATTAACATAGATTCTCAACAGATATGCCAGAAAGGACTATTTAAAAAAGGAAACAGGTTACTAAAAACAAACTTTTTAAGCTCTCTTGAGCACTCAGCATTTGACTTAAACAACTGGACCATTGTTTTTTAACAGAGTAGTCAGTCTAGAGCTTTGCTCTCTGCATCCTATCAAGGATGCCATAGGGAAACTTGCAGATTGGCCTGATTCGCACCCTTTGCACCACCTTCCCAGGAAGAGCCACCAGATCCCGTCAAGGTGCTAAGCTGTACCTGGGGTGATAAGAGCTGCAAGCTGTTGGCTCTGGCTGCCATCCCTTGCCCGATGCTCAAGCTTCCGTCCAAGCCTTTGGCTCTGACTTTGTCTCGGGTCACGTACATGGAATGTCTGTGAGGACGCTGCTGAGAAGAGAAGGGGCTGGTATAGCCCAGTCCGTAAGAAAAGGATTCATGAGGTGCAGACAGTGAATGGGAATGGCTGCTGTCCATGTGTTCGGGCAGCTTCAACTCCTCCATCGTTTTAGAATGCCTGGTTGTGGTTCTGCGTGAGTCCAGAGTGCCCTCACTGCGGTTATTTCTCCCTGAAGGGCTGAGCAAAGTTCTTGTGTCACTGTGCCTGGTGGGGGTTGGGCTGGTGGGAGAGTTCAAGTCCAAGCAGCTGGATGGGAAGTATCTACTGGTATTGGACTCTGCGACTTGGGCCCTGGTTTCAGAAAGGTTGCTCACAGACTTGGAGTCACTCAGCGCCCCGTGGCTTTTGGCCTTGGTTCTATAGGAAGGACTCCTCGAGGACTGGGGTATGGTGTCGATATAGCTGTGCCGGCTCTGCTTCTCACTGGGCTGCAGTGTCCCGGCTTTGCTCTGAGAGCTTTCCATAAATGAGTGCCGGTTCTGCTGAGATCTACTGCTTGACTTGAGGTACTTCGTGCCCGGGCCTTCTGAAGGCTTTGGGTCAATATTAAAGTCGAACTCTGTTTTTGACTTGGCGTCTTTTGGGCTGAGAAGGTGTGGTATGTTGTTGTTAGTGAGATCTTTGCTGGCAGACCCAGGCTGAGTGCCTGCTTGGTAGCTTTTGGTGTGCATTGGACTGAGGGTAGCTCCAGCGAGGTTTCCATTTAGGAAGCTTTCGTTGGCAGGGAGGCCTTCATCAGCCCGGGGCAGAACCACACTTAGGTTCTGGATGTCCTTGCTGTTAGATCTGTGGTGAGACTGTAAAGCAGTACTTTTACTGGCTTGGTTTCTGTGTTTAAAACAAAAGAAATGTATCAATTTTTCTCAACAGCAGACACATGTTTTAAAAAAAAAGAAAAAAGAACACATATTTCAAAGACTGAAAGTATTAATTCTCTCAAACACATGCCTACCAATGACAAATAACTCTTCAGTAAGAAGTCTGTTCCTTAGACCAAGTCATTCTGCCACAAAGCACTGGTCCTGAATTGTTTTGGCATTCATAAACACTTGGCTAACTTACTGTCAAAGCAGTTTCTAACTGATCATCTGGTAAAACATACTTTCACTATGCTGGTGTGTTTGTTACAGAGCGCTTGCAAAGAAGAAGAGAGTTGAGGTATAGATAAACTCTTTGGTCTGCCTGAATATCAGAAAACAACATTTACACTTGAAGGTTACTGGGTTCTTTGAACTTCATTCTTTTTTGAAAACCTTGTAGCTTGCTTCAGCAATACAATACTCATAGTGCATACATGTCTTCAGCCTGAATAGTCAAAGAACGAGAATTCCAGCAACTTATTAAAGAAGATGACACTCTAAGAAGAAATGTAAACCGCCCAGTGAGGTTTGTCAGAAAGCATCATGATCAATATGTATACTTGGAAGATGTGGCTCTTCAGATTATCTACTTACACACTAAACAGGAATCTTACACTGCATCAGGGGATCTGAAAGTGTTAATTTCCTGCCAAAAGTCACAATTTATTCTCTTTTTCATTTCACACCTCATTATGCTAAAACTGACTGAGGCTTTCTTTAGGACTCAAAGCTTCATTTCCTTCTAGCTTTAAAATACAAAATATAAATCCCAAGAAAAACGATTTTCTCTATTTGAAAGTGCAAATTGACACTATAGCAAGGTCAGTTTGTTCTCCTGTAACTATTTAAAGGACCAAATAGTAGCTTGGCATAGGTTAGAATGTTTAAATATGAATAATGGTTTACACAATTCACAATTCCCTTTTTAACTTACAAAATTTTGCTGTAAATATCGCTCTTTCTAAAGATGTCTTGATTTGGAAAAATTCTGCTCCCACTAGACACTAACTGGAAGGAAAATCCCTTTCTGGTTTCATATAGAATGGTAATCCATGAAATTTCCCTAGGAGAATCTGCATGCTCAAGCAGCAAATGGAAGGGCTCTTTTCCTATCCAATTTTTCAGATGGTGATCTCTGCCAGAGCTACATGAGGATGTCAAAAAATAGCTTATATTAAGCCTATGAAACAGTGTGTATCTCCTAAAGCACTCACTAATCTCTCCCAGCTAGGTCACAAGAATCACAGCATTAAATAAGGCTACTTCAGTATGAGCTAACTAGATGGCAAGTCCCAGACCTAGGAAGAAATTACAAAGGAAGGAAAGTTAAGTTTCATTTTGTGATAAATGAGGTCAACAATCTATCTCCAGATCAACAAAGGACAACCCATGTATCCTAAAGGCATCAGGTTTAAACCATTAGAGTTGTCAATTATCAGCTTGGTAGCTAAAATAGCTACTTTTCAAAAACCCAACAATGATAGCAGTCTCTCTCACAAATCAATCTACATGTATTGGTTATTCTCCATCTGCCCACCCCCGATCTGTTCTTCACCCCTCTCTGCCTGGTCCCGGATCCCAGGAAGCCAATGGTGAAGACTCTGGATCATAGTCAGGCTCTCAACTTCCAGGTGGCGTTAGCACTGTAAGGCATCAAAGGACAAGAGGGAAGAAAAAGAGGCTGGGAGATGTCTTCCCCACTCCTTCTGATCATCAGTACCCTGCCTCAAGTCACAGCTGTGTCCCTGCAGAGGATACCTTCTGTGGGATGGGGTTCTTTCAGCCCAGCTCCAACTCTCCTTGGGCTCATAGAATCCTATTTCCTCTCCTTTCACTTTCAGGCCTAGAGGACACATAATACACAGATATGGGAAATATCCTAAGCTTAAAAGAGGACCAGAAAAGGAGAGAGAACAGCCAAGATATCTGCTAGTGCTTCTGAAAATGTCACCTACACGAGATCTTAGGAAGAACGTACTTACAGCAATGTAAAGCACAATTCCTAACATGCAAAGAGAGGTTACAGAGTTAAGGTAGAAATATCCATTGAGAATTTTATTTTTACTATTATTATTTTGGTACAAAAGAGCCTAAACCATGATTCTAGACATTTCTGTCTCAGGATGAATCAGAAGCCATTGAATTTTGCACGTAATTCCTATGTAGAAAGGGTATTATATTACTTTCAAATTGGAGTTCTGCCAAAGCACAATAAAAAACAGGTTTGAAAATTTCATAGATATCATTGACACATAACTGTGAAGAATCCGTGTTAAACTGCCAACAATTTAAGAAGATTGCACATATAAGCCCTACTTAAACGGCTGGCAGTATAGACGGATGAACAGACAGACAGGTGGTTAAAATTGTCTGTTTAAAACCAGTTTGAAAAGCAAAAGTCAAAGGTGCAGCAAAGCTATATTTTTATGGGAAAGGTTGGTGAAGCAGGACCCATGAGAGTGGTGGTGTGGGGCAGGCTGAAGTACCATCAAGCCATGGCCGAGATGAGAAGACCCTCAGGAGACCCAGAAGGAATAGGGATGGGGGTAGGCAAGTGATATAAGAGTCCATTGCCTATGCCATAAAAAAAACAACTTGGAAGACAGGGTATGTGAGAGTGTCTGTGTATTGCCAAGGTAGGGGAGGATGTAAGTGGCAACCAGTGGATATGGCACTGTAATTATCTAGAAAATGGTCAGAGGAAGTCCCAGGGAGCTACAGTCTATGTTGAGATATAAGCAGAATTAGTGTCCCTAACAAGAAGGACTTCCATGAAGAAAGTATTGACCATAAACAAGTGTGGAGAGAAAGTTCTTGGGCACATGTGAAATGGGATAAGGTTATTCCTACAGAAACCATTCAGGATTTTTCTTTAATATATTTAATACAGTGTCAGGACCCTAAAATGAACTCTTCCAGAGATTTTTCTTTGCTTATAATTTCTATTCTTGAATAATGTCAAAAGGGGGTTTGGAAGAACTTTTCAACAACTCATACAAATCATATCCTATGTACCTCCTAAGAACAACACACATATCCCCAACTATCCTAACTATCCAACACACATATCCTAACTAGTTTCTCAGGGACAGCCTCAGGTCCCCATTGGTTAACCCCCAAAACTCTCTCAAGTGAGTCACTGGAAGACAAATACACATGCCCCTTTTCACAGTGCGGATTGCACCACTAATCAAAACTTCTCGTGGGTTTACTAAGCTTTATCCCATTGGGATAATTTTTCTTTGTAAACGTAATTTAGAAGAGCCAAGTGACAATTAAGTGGAAGGGAAACAAAAGTCCTTGAAGTGGGAATGACCTCAGGGAAAACAGGAATAATCTGAATGTCTCACATGCAAAGGAGCAACCAAATGATCACTACTATTCCCTGACCCCGTGCACTAAGATCGCATGGAAAGAAACAATAAACAAAACCCAGCTAAGAATGATCGTTAAGATGTGAGGAGAAACAATAACTAAAATATCATTTTAAAGAAGAGTAAACAGTCTACACCACAAGCACATCATTACAGTTAAGAAGAGCAGATACGAGTAAATGGTTATCACTAATTTATGGATGCTCTCCCAAACCTAAAAAGTACCAGATCTTGAGCTTTCAAATTTCTGATTAACAATTGCTATAGGAAGGAAAAATCTGGGAGTGTGGGAAATGAAATTCAAAAAGCTTCATATTAGGAATTATTGTTTCCTATTACTCTTCTTAGAGTAGATGAAATTATTTCCTAACTCCCATAATCTATCAACCCCAGATGATAAGATCAGCTACTCAGGAGATGACGACAGACAGGGAGATCATGCATCACCCTCCTATAAGTGCAGCCAACTGAATTAAGGAATGTCAGGACTGGAAAGACAACCATTGTATAGTTCAGTCCTCTGTGTACAAGAAACAGTTTTTCAAAAGACTATATGGAAAAATATTATTTTAAAAGCACCACTTTTAATCACTGACTTTACTATTTCCACATTCTTATTCTCATGAAAAAAGTTCTCAACTCAATGATTAAAACACAAGAGCAACAAAAACCCAAGACCCTTCTATAGGGCCAGACATACTTGTCCATTGCAAGGACTGTCCTAGGTAACTTCCCACCCACCTGTGTGTGGCATCCTACTCACCCTCCAGGATTCTCCTTACCCTTAACCCATTCTTCTTCTAGCCATCACTCCTGGGTCTCATCTACACAGAATCTTTCAGCTCTTAAGGCGGAAAAGCCCTTTAGATGCTAACCCAATGCTACCTCTTTCCCAGCAAATGCATAGGTTTCCATACTATACTTGTTAAAGATAACAAAGTCTTTAAGACCCACACAACTCTTTAATTGTGGTTCTGAATCATGTAATAAGCATAAGGAAGATATTTTTGAATAAAGAGGGCTTTCCTTCTTTTCTATAATTGCATCATTTTAACAGCCACCTCTTCCACCTACTTGTAAGACCAACACTGCATCTGTATTTCCTTAAAAGGGAATATTTACCTATTAGACAATGTGCTGCTTTCCACATGGTAAGGTTTTCTTTTTGCTGACCTTGAAGGGGAACGATCCAAAAGTCTCTGGGTCTGAAATGTAGGATGATTCAAACACTGTTCTGTCAAGTATCTGTCAGCTGGGTCCAACTGCAGTAAATTCTAAGGAAATAAAGTTTAGGAAGGGAAAGGATATTAGAAAGTCAAATTTAAGTTCAAATAAAAACATTTTTTTTTTCTTATGCAAGAAAGACATGATCTCTAACAAACACACTTTGGGTGAGGGATAGGGAGAAGATTATTTAAATCACTCATAATCTCACCATTGTTGTCTTCTTGCTATATATCTTCCCAGCCCTTTTGTGAATACCATAGAGATATTTTTCATAATACATTCTGGCTCATATTATACACATAAGTTTTGTATCCTGCAATTTTCACTTACTAATCAAAAACATTTTAACATAATCTATCCATTTAAAATATTTTAGTAAGTATATACTCATATGAAAAAATATACATTATTTATCTTTCTCCTGACCCCCAGCTACCCAATTCCCTTCTTTGGAAGCAGCCCAGGTTACCAGTTTCATGTTCATCCTTCCATAGATGTGCATGTGAGTGTGTATGATACCCAGGAAGGATGAACATATATAGATCTGTTCCTTTTATTCTATCCAAATAACAGCACATACACAGTTGTCTACGCTCAAGTTTCTTTCCAAAGACATACAGTCTTTAAGAGAGATCTGTTGGTAAAGACACCATATTGGTAAAGAGTTTCAACTCTATGGATGTAGCTTAGTTTGTTTTTAGCAATTCCCTAATAACAAATATTAAGGTAGTTTATTATTTTAACTGTACATTATGTATTTACTATTGCTTTATTGTTTATTAACTATATATTTACTATTCACTATTATGAATAATGCACCAACAAATAACCTTACAACATGCTTTTTAATGACTCCATATATACACCATGATGCACAAAGCCAGCCTTTTACTACTGGAAACATACTGAATGGCAGCCAGTTTTCACTATTATGATTAACGTTGTGCTGAACACATGAAACCTTTGCACATATCCATGATCCTTTCATAGGATAAACTCCTAAGGATGGAACTCATAGGGAAGCACATTTTTAAGGATCCTTTCCTATGTGTTACCAAATCATCCCCTCAGAAGGCTCTCAGATCATCTTCTTTTCCGTAATGGGGCAAGTCTGCCAATACCCTGGTACTCTCAGCAGCTACAGGCATTCTCATTCTCTTTAATACTTCTAAATTAGGTATTCTAAAAGATGGTAACTGGAAGCAGTTTTAATTCACATCCTTGCTTACTAGCGAAGTTACATATTTTATATGTTTTTTAGCTACTTATGCTTTTTAATTTTTCTGTATCTGCATCTGTATTTCTGTAAATGTTTTTTTAAAAAAAGGATTTATTTATTTATTTGAAAGTCAGAGTTACACAGAGAGAGGAGAGGCAGAGAGAGAGAGAGAGAGAGAAAGAGGTCTTCCATCTGATGGTTCACTCCCCAATTGGCCACAATAGCCGGAACTGCACTGATCTGAAGCCAGGAGCCAGGAGCTTCTTCCAGGTCTCCCACGTGGATGCAGGGGCCCAAGGACTTTGGGCCATCCTCTACTGCTATCCCAGGCCATAGCAGAGAGCTGGATCGGAAGCGGAGCAGCCACGTCTCGAACCATATTAGATTCTTTACAACTAAAATGTTTTAGTACGATATCATCTATCTTAATAATTCAACAAAGTTTTAAAGGGTAAATCATTATTAAAATGAATTTTTAATTATAAACTAGGCAAATATATAAAGAAAACCTGTATAGCCTAACAGAACACATTAAGACACAGTGAAATTTGCTCTTTGAAAGACTGTCATGCTCCCTCGAAGACAGGGTGAAAAAATGAAATTAAAGCAGTCATAAATTCATCTCTAGCTCATTTCCACTGGTTTTGCCCATTGCTACTCTTTGTATTCTGTTAAATAGTGAGAGCAATCCTAGGTTTGCTCCTAATAGCCAGACTTCAATTTCAGGTAATACATTTAACCTAGCTCCACAAAAAATTTGAATTCTGATCCTAAAAAGATTCTGCAGTGGCTCAGGTGGGATAGTAGCCAGGGATGGCAGAGCATGAGGATGGAGTGGGTGTCCACGCTGTTGTCCTGGACACTGAACAGAGAACCCTGTGGCTCTTAGGCCTTTTTGAGCGGGGAGCAGCCCCGCAGCCAAGGATCATGGAACAGAAAGCGCTAGAAGTTTATGATTTGATTAGAACTATCTAGGAGTCAGAAAATCCCAATACTCTGGAAGAACTGGAAATGGTAACAGAAAGTTGTGTGGAGGTTCAGGAGATAAATGAAGATGAGCACCTGGTTGTTATCAGGGTCACACTAACAGTACCTCATTGCTCTTTGGCAACTCTTATTGATAAGGGTCTGGCTGTGCTTACCAGTAAAACTTCAGTGGTGTCTGCCATTTATAAATAAGTTGGAGGTCTACATTTCTGAAGGCACTCACTCAACAGAAGAAGACATCAACAAGCAGATCAATGACAAAGAGCAAGTGGCAGCTGCAATGCAGAACCCCAACTTATGGAAAATGGAAGAACAGTGTGTCCTTGAACCTGACTAATAGCTGTTTTAAGAGCCACTGAACTGTAATTGTTTGCTATATTTCTTTAAGCTCTTTGTAAAATATAAAAGACTCATGTTTAATACATAGGTGACTTGTACCTCAAAGCCTTTTTTAAAGGATTATTTCCAAGCAAGATTTAATTATAAGGTAGGACCTAATTCGTTCAGTGTATAACATTCTCAGGACTTGTAACACTTAAGTGATCAAACAGAAAAATATTTTCTAGCTATTATGTGTAAGATGAGTTGCTATTTTTCTGACGCCCATTCTGATACAACTGCTTTTCAAGTCAAATATCTACCATGACCAAAGGTATTCAATTTAAATCATTACTCTGATCCTGACACAACTCTGAAATGATTTCAATTCTTTCTTATTCTAAAACAAAAACTGTGAAGGTATATGAAATGATTTTGTACTCACTGACAGTTAAAAGCTAACATCAAAACGGTTTCAACTGTAAGATACTAGTTTAAAACAAAGGAAAGTTGCCTTCAGTACTCTTAAATTAGAAGTCCATATGATTAGAAGATAAATATCTACTATCTCTTGTGCTAATTTATTTGATATCAGCAGTAGAAATTACTACATATACAAAGAACTATATTTATGCTTATGAAGATAGCTATTAATTTTCCAAATACTTGAAAGGGTGAGGTCATTATGAGGAACTTACCAGTTAGTAGTGTGTGTGTGGTACAGAGGGGACCTAATAATTTATTTTTTTAACTAAAATAAAGCCAATTGTGGGGATTTGGCCTAGCAGGTAAAATGCCAACTGGGACACCTGTACCTCTTTCAGAGTGCCTGGGAATAACACCCAGCTACAATCTCATTCTAGCTTCCTGATGTGTGTACCCTAGGAGGCAGCAGGTGATAGCTCAAGTAGTTGTGTCCCTGCCACCCATGTGGGAGATCTGGATTGAGTTCCTGGTTCGAGCTTCGTTTGGCCTATCCCCAGTCACTGTGGGCATTGAGGACTGAACCAGCAAACTCTTTCGGGCTCTCAAATAAATAAAAGTTTAAAATAAAAACAAAAGATTATCATTACAGTTATTCTTAAAATTATCAGGGTTTTGAATTAATTCTGGGAATTGTATCTTCACTAAAATGGTTTATAACAGATTTAAGACAAAGATGGCCATTTTAGGATAGCTATATATGGCCAAAATTATCAAAACAGCTTTATGGAATGACAAAGAGAATATTTTTTTCATGAAAGGATAACTGATATTTCTGATTTTTCAAATTCATCTTCAAAAATACCTAAAGGATAAAGAGAATGATTCTATTTATATAACACTCAATAATAACAAGGCAATATTAACTGTTGGTGACAAGTCAGAATTGTGGTTTTTTGGGGCAGTGGCATAAAGCTGGGTAGGGATTTTAAGGAGGCTTCTGCGGTGTTAAAATTTTCTCTATTTGGGGAGGGTTACACAAATACATTTGTATCATAAAAATTAACCAAGAAGTAGACATAATTTGAGAACCTTCCAAATGTATATTTCAATTAAAATGTTAAAGAAACATGACAGTAAGCCGGCGCCGCGGCTCACTAGGCTAATCCTCTGCCTAGCGACGCCGGCACACCGGGTTCTAGTCCCGGTCGGGGCGCCGGATTCTGTCCCGGTTGCCCCTCTTCCAGGCCAGCCCTCTGCTGTGGCCAGGGAGTGCAGTGGAGGATGGCCCAGGTGCTTGGGCCCTGCACCCCATGGGAGACCAGGAAAAGCACCTGGCTCCTGGCTCCTGGCTCCTTCCATTGGGATACAGACGGGGGGCCCGCGCCCCGGCACCCCGGGCCGCGGCGGGCCATTGGGAGGGTGGACCAACGGCAAAGGAAGACCTTTCTTCTCCTGTCCTCTTCTCTCTCACTGTCCCCTTCTGCCTTGTCAAAAAAAAAAAAAAAAAAAGAAACATGACAGTAAACATGTTAAATAAATAGTAGTTAGAATGTTTAGCTTCCAATCTGGTAGAAGTGCAGAAAGCTTCAGGATATTGTACTACTTTTATCTGTGCTAGCTTTTAATCAGAACAAGCTTTTAATCAGGTACCACACTGATGCTTGGTAATTATACTTGGTAATGATTTAACAAAAATATTCAATTATTTTTAACTAAAAGAAGACAAAAGGCAGAAAACACTTCCTTATATTTAATTCCATTTTCTAACTTGATTCTATTTATATTTTTAAAGTTACCAAATACTTACGGTCCTGATCAATAAGTAATGATTGTGTGAAAGAGCATATTGACAAAACTCAACTGATTTAACTGATAACTTATGCCTAATTAAACTGGAAGCGCTCTGATGGCTCTCTCTCTTTTTCTTTTTTTTTTTTTTTTTGGACAGGCAGAGTTAGACAGTGAGAGAGAGAAAGGTCTTCCTTCTGTTGGTTCACCCCCCCCAAATGGCCGCTACGGCTGGTGCGCTGCACCAATCTGGTGCCAGGAGCCAGGTGCTTCCTCCTGGTCTCCCATGCGGGTGCAGGGCCCAAGCACTTGGGCCATCCTCCACTGCCTTCCCGGGCCACAGCAGAGAGCTGGACTGGAAGAGGAGCAAGCGGGACAGAATCCAGCGCCCCAACCAGGACTAGAACCCGGGGTGCTGGCGCCACAGGCGGAGGATTAGCCAAGTGAGCTGTGGCACCAGCCTGCCTCTCTTTTTTTTAATAGCACTTCTCTATCTGTGTTCAGAATGCTAGTGCTTTGGGGTTTTATTAAAAAAAACACACACACACACAAAAAAAACAGTATTCAGTAATTGGGAGAGACAGACATGCTTAATTATTGAGATTTCTGAAAGCCTTCATAGATAAATGAATATTGTGAATCTCTACAAAAGATTATATGGTATGTGGACATTTCCCTTGAAGCCACACCTGACTCTCCCACCTCTGCCCACACCCCTATTTCAACTATGTTCCCTGGAACACAGATTAACATAGTTGAAAGTATAGCAAGATTCTAGGAAGGCTGCTCAGCCACTTCCAACTGTGCTAAGTGTGCCCTTTAAAGGTTCTATGCCTAGCATGACCTGCACTGATTTTGACAGTTGACAGAATGGGCATAAAATAAAATTGATCTATTAACAACTGCTTTTTAAAGGTCTACTATCAAACAACAGAAACTTGCTTATCCACTGGCTGGATACAACAAAACTGGAGAAAAGTGGAAGATAGTTTTCATTCAAAGGGTTTACTGTCTACTGGGGAAGAAACACTCCAATAAAGAAATCTGAGGATGTGTTTAGTAGTCCAGAGCAGGAAGACAGCTTGACAGGGAGCAACAGGAGGAACACAGGCCACAGTAATACCAGCAACTCTGACATATATAAAGAGGAGACAGAAAGACAAGAACTGGGTTCACTGATCAAATCTGTATGAACTCTGAGGCGCCTTAAATATCATGTGAAAAAAAAAAATCACAGGATCCTCTGTTATTTCAACATTCATTTTAAGATTTGATTCAAAACATATCACTGTGCAACTCTTGAGTGCTAATAGATTTTTATTCTTTTATTTTAGGAAAGTAAATTAGGGATCTCATGGTCATCTATACACAGACTATGACACACCAAATCCTGTTGCAATTTTAATTAAATGCCTTTCAACACAACATACTCCCCTGTTATTCAATATCATATATCAACTTTAAAAACATTTAATTCATACACAACAGAATCCCCAAACCAAAGGGCATTTTATACAGACAACATCTATTTCTCCTACCTTCATTAGATCAAGTAAAACACTATTCAAAATTCCAAGGTATCTTCTCTCCAATGACTGAGGATGGTTAACAGCTGGAAACTGTAAGAACAACATGACAGTAATATTAGCATGTGGGGAAGGATATGCTAAGGATATGTGTGTTGCAGAAGGGAGCAGATAAGTAGAAGTTACTGCCCCAGTGTCAACACAAGTCAAATTACATGAGCAGTCTTCAAAAAGTTCATGAAAAATGCCTATTATGAAAAAAATGCATAATTTCAATTTTCTTTTTGCACTAAAATAAACTTGTACTAACTTCTTATAACATGTATCAACAGAATCTATTTTTGAGACACTAAGAAAGCTAAGACATCAGTTTAAAAAGAGGCATTTTCAGAGCAACATAAATTCTGCTAAAACTGAAGCAAGAACAAACATCAAATTGATGGTGAGGCTCGGGTAGAATGGTGAAATCACTGATGCTTACAAAAAGCTCATGGAGACAATGCTACAAAGAAACCAGCAGTTTGCAAATGGACTTTTTTTTTTTTTAAGATTTTTATTTATTTATTTGAAAGGCAGAGTTACAGAGAGGCAGAGAGAGAGAGAAACAGACAGACAGATTTCCATTCACTGGTTCACTCCCCAAATGGCTGCAACGGCTGTGGCTGAGTCGATCTGAAGTCAGGAGCCAGGAGCTTCCTCTGGGTCACCAAGGCAGGTGCAGGAGCCCATGCACTTGAGCCATTTCCCACTGCTTTCCCAAGCCATAGCAGAGAGCTGGATTGGAAGTGAAGCAGCCAGGACTTGAACTGGCATCCATTTGGGATGCCAGCACCACAGGCAGTAGCTTTACCCACTATGCCACAGTGCCGGCCCCAGAAAGAGATCTTCCATTACTGGTTTACCCCCCACCCCATAATGGCCAGAGTTGGGCCAGATGGAAACCAGGAGTTTCTGCCAGGTCTCCCAAGTGGGTGCAGGGGCCCAAGCATTTGGGCCACCTTCCACTGGTTTCCCAGGCACATAAGCAAGAAGCTATATCAGAAGTGGAACAGTCCGGACATGAACCAACATCCATTTAGGATGCCGGCATCGCAGGTGGCAGCTTTATGCAAGATACCACAACGATGGCCCCCTACGAATAGATTCTTAAGAAGAGATGAAATGATGAAGACGGAGTCCACAGCTTTAGGCAGAGCATCCACATTAATTTGCAAGGACTGACAAAAAACTGCACACACAATAGCCAACACCACAGACACCTCAATTGGCTCAGCTTACACAATTCTGACTGAAAAAGTGGAGCAAATTTTCTGCTCAGCGGGTACCAAAACTGTTGCACCCAGACCAGCAGCAGACAAGAGCAGAGCTTTCAATGGAAATTCTAAGCAAGCAGGATCAAGATGCTGAAGCTTTTTTTTTTTTTTTTAAGAAAAATTGCATCGGGAGATGAAACGTGGCTTTACCAGTACAATCCTAAAAAGCATGATTCAAGCAATGGCTGCCGAAAGGAGGAAGTGGTCCAGTCAAAGCAAAAGCTGACCAGTCAAGAGCAAAGGTCACAGCAGCAATTTGGGGGTCGGGGGATGCTCAAGGCATTTTGCTTATTGACTTTCTTTCTGGAGTGCCAAAGAGTAACATATCTTAATGGGACAGTGGTGTTTTTGTTTTTGTTTTCAAGATTTATTACTTATTTATTTGAAATTCAGAGTTACACACACACACACACACACACACACACACACACAGGGGGTGGGGAGGTCTTCCATCCACTGGTTCACTTCCCAATTGGTCACAAAGGCTGGAGCTGCGCTGATCTGAAGTCAGGAGCCAGGAGCTTCTTCTGGGTCTCCCACACGGGTACAGGGGTCCAAGGACTTGGGCCATCCTCCACTGCTTTCCCAGGCCATAGCAGAGAGCTGGATTGGAAGTGGAGCAGCTGGGACTAGAACTGGTGCTCACATGGGATGCCAGCGCCACAGGAGGAGGATTAACCTACTGCGCCACAGAGCCGGCCCCAGTAGGACAGTGTTTTGAAAAAGCTAGCCAAAGCTTTAGAGGGAAACCGCCCAGGAAAGTTTCACCAGAAAGTTCTCCATCATGACCACACTCCAGCTCATGCTTCTTATCAGACAAGGGCAATTTTGTGAGTTTCCATGGGAAATCATTAGACAGCTACCTGATACTCCTGATTTGGCAACTTCTGACTTCTCTTTGTTTCATAATCTTAAAAAAAAATCTTTAAAGGACAACCATTTTTCTTCAAAGAAAGACTGCACTGACATGGTTGAATTTCCAGGGCCCTCAGTTCCTTAAAGATGGACTAAATGGCTGGTATCATCATTTACAAGAGTATCTTGAGCTTGCTGGAGCTTATCTTGAGAAATAAAGTTTATATTTTTTATTTTTCCCTTTTAACTTTATTTTTCCATGAATTGTATACTACTTTTGGTGTCTATGTATTGTAGGTTTGAATGGTAAATAACAGGAAAACTCGCAGGGAAAAGATGATATTTAAATCTAGGCAGATAATACTAAGGTGTATAAAAAACTAAAATATAAAAATTTGAAATTATTTATACAGTTTACAGGCATTGTCTGCTTAAACAATTTTCTATTACAGTTAGTACAGAATTTGCTTATATAGAAAATTCTGAATTACTGACAGTAATTGGGGAACTAGCAGAAGGGTTATGATAAGACATCACAAAGAATTCTTATACCTTTTTCACAATAACATCAAATTATTGCTGAAAATATGGAAGTAAAAAAGAAAAAGGCAGTAAAAACAGTGAATTCAAACACATATTCTCTTATTGCTTTTAATATATTCTTTTAATGACCTGTTTTTTTCAAATCCTTCATTTTTTAAGTTGGAACACAAGGCAAACAAAGTCTCTTAGACTAACAGATGCATTTTTAAATAAAATGAGGGGGAGAGGCCCAGTTTATTTAGATGTTCCATCCTTTCCTCTACCAACTCACATTTCTGTAGTCTCTCAGTAGATGTTAAGATGTTGGGTAATATGACTGGCGGAATTCAGTCCATGGACTCCTTCCAAATGTGATGACTAGCTTGCTTCTGGTGTATATTTTCTTTATACCAACCTAAGAGCATTTCAAAATACTGAAATCCCTAAATGTGCTAAATAAGTGGATGAGAGGACTATTTATGTAGTTAAATTCAAAGAAGGTATTTAAGGAGTGATTATGACATCATACCCACACGGTGCTCAGTACAGCAGCAGAGAGAATATCAGGAAGGCCTAAATCTGGCACCCGGGGAATCTGCTGTCTGGTTGGGAAGCAATCAGTGCTAGTCCTGCAGCCCGAACTGCCGACGGAGGACGAGAGAAAGAGAGATCAAGGTGGTTTGCGGCTGGAGAAGAAAGAACCCATGGCTGGGTTTTGGAAGAAATGTGAAGATGGAGAAAAGTAGGACAGTACCTTCAAGAGAGGAAGTAGAAAGAATAACATGAACTTAACACAGACGCACACGCAAAACCTAAAACTGAATTCCGAGGGAAGTGATGCTATGCAGCATTTTAGGTATTATCATTCTTATTTTAGAGATGAGGAAGAAGACGATCAGAAAGTTCAAATAACTGGTTCAGGGCAAGTTACATAATCCAAAAGTAGCAGAACTAATATTTATACCTAGGCCTATGTGCCAAACCCACACTTTTTCTAAACCTAGGTGCCTCACCTAAAGGAGGTAAAGAGGTTCTTTTGGGTGTTACTGGAATATTAACTAGCAGCCTAAAGAGAGGGACACCTGCCTTGCTGCGATAAAAGATACTATACCAGTACATTTTAATTAACACTCTGCTAATGAGGTCTACCTTATGCTACCAGGTATCCCCTCTTTTTCTTTTTCCAGAGTGATTTTTTTTAAAGATTTATTTATTATTTGAAAGGCAGAGTTATAGAGAGGGAGAGACAGATATCTTCCATCTGCTGGCTCATTCCGCAAAAGGTTGCAACAGCCAGGGCTGGGCCAGGCAGAAGCCAGGAGCTTAGAATTCCAGCCGAGTCCCCCATGAGCATGGCAGGGCCCGGCAGGGCCCCAAGCACTTGGGCCATCCTCCACTTTTCTAGGTGCATAAGCAGGGAGCTGGATGGGAAGTGGAGCAGCCAGGACATAAATCAGCACTCATACGGGATGCTGGTGTCACAGATGGCAGCTTAACCCACTATGCCACAATGCTGGCTCCCAGAAGGGATTTTAATGATAAGAAAATTAATGGGAGCCAGCGCCGCGGCTCACTAGGCTAATCCTCTGCCTTGCGGCGCCAGCACACCGGGTTCTAGTCCCGGTCGGAGTGTCGGATTCTGTCCCGGTTGCCCCTCTTCCAGGCCAGCTCTCTGCTGTGGCCAGGGAGTGCAGTGAAGGATGGCCTAAGTACTTGGGCCCTGCACCCCATGGGAGACCAGGATAAGTACCTGGCTCCTGCCATCGGATCAGCGCGGTGAGCTGGCCGCAGCGCGCTGGCCGGGGCGGCCATTGGAGGGTGAACCAATGGCAAAGGAAGACCTTTCTCTCTGTCTCTCTCTCTCACTGTCCACTCTGCCTGTCAAAAAAAAAAAAAAAAAATTAATGGTGAAATAAAAAATGTATTAGAAATGTTATAATAATAAAAAATGACCAAACTCCTAACTTTAAAAAAATTGATTGATATGCTTTTGAATGAGAACTACCATTCTAACAGGAGAGAATTCAACAAATGGGAAAAACTCAAGCACAGAAGTTTGAACAATTTCCCAATCAACACAATGAGAGTACGTCTTTACTGAGTGCTGACTATGTATGTGCCAGGTACTAGGTCTGGGCATTTCACTTATAACATTCCACCTTCACATCAATCCCATCACCATTTTACACATGAAGACACAGAGGCACCAAGATGGTGAAATCACTTCCTGGGTCATTCAAGCAGTAAACACAGAGCCAGGCTTTGAACTCCAGCAATCTAACTCCAGAGCCTGTGCCCTATACTAAGTGACATCAACTGTTACTTTTTCCAAACAATGTTTGTCATTAGAGCAACATTTTGTGGGATTTCCAACCTCTCCACAACTGAATGCAGATTCTCATCGAACCACATCATTTACCAGCGAGCCCATGGTTCACGGCAGACGCACGTGCTTAGTTTTATGTCCCAGATACTCTCAAGTGATATCATGAAAGAAACCTTCCCCCCAAAAGATGCTGTTAAGCCTCCAAAGAGATTAAAGTAACTTAGTTAAAACACCACAAACACTTTCAAGTGAAAATGTAAAGAGTAATGTATATAAAAATCAACCCATCACGGAAGCAGCAATTTCAGTAAAAGATACTTCTAGGGAGTGCTGTAACATATAGTCTACATTTTACAGATAATATTGTTGAGTGAGAAGTCTGTGAACAAACAGGACCACAGACAAATGAGGAAAAGCTACCCTTCCCGAGGCCTCTCTAACCCAGATGCTACTCAATCTTCAACATCCATTTCAAATTTCAAATCCCCCAAAAGGGGCCAGAGCTGTGGCGCAGCGGGTTAAAGCCCTGGCCTGAAGAGCCGGCATCCCATATGGGCACCAGTTTGAGTCCTGGCTGCTCCTCTTCTGATCCAGCTCACTGCTATGGTCTGAGAAAGCAGTAGAAGATGGCTCAAGTCCTTGGGCCCCTGCACCCACATGGGAGACCTGGAAGAAGCTCCTGGCTCCTGGCTTCAGATCGGTGCAGCTCCAGCTGTTGTGGCCATCTGGGAAGTGAAGCAGCAGATGGAAGACCTCTCTACTTCTCTCTCTGACTCTTTCAAATAAAATAAAGTAAATCTTTAAAAAAAATTTTTAAAAAATCTCCCAGAAGGATTAAACATGACAATAGGTCTGATCTGATTTCATCATCATTTAAAAAAAATCATCTATTATTTTTCACTTTATGTTTCTGTGTGGGAGCAAACTGTTGAAATCCTTACTTAAGGTATACTAAGCTGATCTTCTGTATATTAAGATAATCGAAAATGAATCTTGATGTGAATGGAAGGGGAGAGGGAGTGGGAAAGGGGAGGGTTGTGGGTGGAAGGGACGGTATGGGGGGGGAAGCCATTGTAACCCATGAGTCGTACTTTGGAAATTTATATTCATTAAATAAAAGATTAAAAAAAAAATCTCCCAGAAGTCTTTTCTAATGAACACCTAACTATGGTTTCTTTCTTCTCAGGGTATCTGATAGACTCATGAGCTAAGCCATATCAACATATGATACAGTACAGAATGCAGTACTTTATATTACTTTCTTATAAGCTACATTGTTTTCTAATTATTTCAAGGATGAAAATCTTAGTTCTTTAGTTTGTATGTTATTACGTCCAGGTACCAAGTCAGATTTGTTTATGCTTTCTTCAGAGACTCCAGTATATAACCCCTTTGACCAGGCAAACCACAAGGCAGGCTGTTTCTGGAAGCCAAAGAACAGACAAGTGTGGTAAGAGGGCAGGGGATGAAGACAGGTATGAGAAAAAGGTCAAGGAACACAAAGGGCCTGAATTAGGCAAGGTCTCATGGGCTACAGTGAGGAGTTTGGATTAATTCTCAGCAATACAGAAATTCATTAATTATGATTAACATTATTTCTGAATTTAATAGATTTTCCCTTTTTGCTACTGAGGAAAAGTCCATTTACTATCTATTTTCAGTGTCTAATGCGGCATGTTAAATTAATCTCTTGAACCACATCTGCTATTTGCACCATAAAATAATGGTCCCAATTTGGTCAGGTTTTCCTGGGGCAACTCAGATTTGGAAGAGAATGTAAGAAGGAGATAAAAGAGAAACGTGTGTATGCCTCTGTTCATTAATTTCTTCCATATTCACTGAGCCTAGCAAGAGCTGGGACTTTGCTGGACACTCATGTGTGAGTAGAGGTGCTCTCCAAAGAGAAATTAACTGAGGTCCAGAAAGTCAAAAAACAACCAAAACATATTGCAAATGGCAAGGTAACATGGTTTGAGTGTGATCCACTTGATAGAAAGAAAGAGGAAGTAGAGGTGAGATTATTTTATAGTTCTCACAATCCCCACTAATTGGCCCAAAAGAGTGGTTGAGAACTAAAAAGGTTACTTCGGGAGTGGATGGAAGAGAGAGGTAGCCCTAACTCATTGGCCACTCCAGTAAGGTACCTCCCCAAGCTGGATGTTTCTAATCTGGGGGAAGCTTATACTTTCTAAGATGCTTTTTAGCCTGTTCTCAGAAACAAGGAAAGACTACATGAGACAATGCACTAGTTTGAAAAGAAGATCTGATGTTCTGTTGTCAACAGTCAAAAATTACCTGCTAGAACAAGAACCTTTAAATCTGTGAAATGCAAATACTCGTGGCCTTTCTCAAATCACTACAAATGCATCTGCTCAACTAATTGGTAGCTGTTCACACATTTTATATCTTTTGAGGATACTTAATATTTTGGATAAAGAAACAGTTTAAGATAATCAAAGTTTAGAATAATGTATATGCTTAAAATTTACAAATAAAAAAATTAGCCTTTTAAATTCTGACCATTTCCCCCCACCCTTAAAAAAAAAAAAGATTTACATATTTATTCAAAAGGCAGAGATACAGAGAGAGGGAGGGAGAGAGGGAGACACAGAGAGATTTTCCATCTGCTAGTTCAACTCCCCAGATGGCCGCAACAGCCAGAGCTAGGTCAGGCTGAAGCCAGGAGCTTCTTCTGGGCCTCCCACGTGGGTGCAGGGGCCCAAGGACTTGGGCCATCTTTCCCTGCTTTCCCAGGCACATTAGTAGGAAGCGGGATCGGAAGTGGAGCAGCCAGGACTTGAACCGGCACCCATGTGGGATGGTGACACTGCAGATGGAGGTTTACTCTTCTGTGCCACAGCGCCAATCCCTAATTCTGACCATTTTAAAATTCACAAATACTATATAAGACTCAGAAATAAAATATTTTAGTAGGAAATTATAAATATTGTAATGAGAAAGGAAATACTATTCAAAGGATAGCGTAATGCAATGAACAATGATTTAAGTAAACGCTGTCTTACTGATTCCATTTTGGGTTTTAGCAAAACTTCTTACCCGAAGCCCATGGAAGCGAGGATTACTGTAGAAGAGTTTCATCTGCTCAGAAGGAAGAGGTCCTAGCACTTTCTGTATGGTAAAAAGTTGGTCAATTTCACTTTCTCCAGGAAATAATGGCTGTCCATCACTAAGCTCCCCAAGAATACAGCCCACAGACCACATGTCTACAGATTTTCCATAGGGAGCTCTGAAAAGCAAAGGGAGAGATTTTCTTGGCAAATGAAAAAGCACAATGATTTAATAATTTTCAAATAATTTGAACACATTCATGATGGAAAGCATACCTGTGTACTTAAGGAATGAAAAAAGTACCATATGGAATAAAGTGAGGTTGAAAATAAGGAATTATGGACATTCAAAGTGAAAATTCAAAACACAACTGAATAAACCTATGTTAACAAAGCCTTCAGTTTAGTAAGTTTAGTAGGCACTAATTTGAAGTCTATTCGTATCTGGGTAGATCTTGAACATGAATGGCTTAATCAACTCTAATATAGCACATCTGTCTGATGAGTAACACCTCACTTGGAGAATGAAATGCTCCTAAGAAATGTATTTTCTACATGATAACACTTTAGCTCTCTAAATTTCAAAAAATTCCATCATACCTTTTTTTTTTAGTTTGGTCTATTAAATTGTATGACTGATTTATGTGTCTTCTTAACCAATAAACACTATTATTTAACATTTGATTGCTTAGTATCACAGTTTCCAATAGCTAAGATTGTGCTAAGCTCCATCATATCATTTACCTGAATATATTTGGACCCTAAGTATATAGGCTTTGTAACTCAAAATTTCCCTCAAAGCTTTTTAAGTTTATTTATGGGTTTACAGCTTGCTCCTAGAGTTTGAGTTTACCAGAGGGTTTTAAGAGTGCTGCTGTTATCAGCTATACTTAAAAAAAAATCTAGGTATCCTCAAAGCAGTTTTATACCTATACCCTATATATCTACTATACCTATGGTATCTACAGCATTAAGTCAAATTATTTATAGCAAATTAAGTAAATAATCATACCTTCATATATATACATATTTTTAAAATAAACAACCCAAGCTTTAAGAAGTGGGAAAGCCAAAATAAAATATCTGAAAAGTAGTTTGTAATGAAATTCTAGAATCTCATAATGATATAGTACTAATCTCATAATGATATAGTACTAATACAAACATTTTAAACTAAAGCACTTTCAACACTATACAGAATGCTTCTAGGATAATAAATCACTGTAACAAGAAGTCAATATTTCATTTATCTAATTCATTTCCCACAAAAATGTAAGAACCATATAAGGAAATCTCATCTAGATATTTTTGGTAGCTTGTTGGGAAGGGAAGGATATAGAACTTTCTTTGACAGCTATTTGAGAGTAAGAAAATTGTTCCATAGTGCTAGATGGAGAAACCCATGGAAAACCTCCACATTCCCACTACAAGCTATTTTTCTTCTGTCTTCTGATTTGAATAATTTATACAGCTGGAACTATTTTGAATGTCAAGGACAAAACCTTGAGAATGTATTAAAATAAATTCTTTTTAAAAATTGTTTATTTTAAAGGCAGAATGACAGAGAGGGAGGAGACAAGTTTTCCATTTGCTGTTTCTCTCCACAAATGTTTGCAACAGCCAGGTCGGGGCTAGGCTGAAGCCAGGAGCCAGGAACTGCATCCTGGCCTCCCACATGTATGGCAGGGGCCCAAGTACTTGGGCCATCTTCAGCTGCCTTCCCAGGAGCATTAGCACGAAGCTGGATTCAAAGTGGAGCAGTGGGAACTTGAACCAGTACTCTGAGATGCTGGGGTTACAAGCAATAGCTTAACCCCAAAATATGAATTCCTAATATATAATCAAATATCAAATTACTTCAATGGGATTTTACACAAATAATATGGTGTTTCAGCTAGTACTTGGTATCAATTAGTGATACTAAATTTGCTCGAATGAGTTGCACTATCTCCATCTACTTTCGGCAGCTACCACACATCTCTAAACATCACCTCAGTTTTCCTATAGGAATTATTAAACAGAAAGACTATCTGAAGATTCACAATAAGCTGTCTTTAGAATTAACTCCTTGGAGGAATCTCCCAAACAAAACCAGTTGATAATGAGTCTTTCTATCATACTAAGTCCTCAGATGAAGTTCTAAGAATGATGTACTTCCTAATTCATTCTTCATTGGCTAATAGTGTCCAGTAAATTCAAATTGGAATCCTCCCAAAAGAAAATAGACTATGTATTTCAATGAGTTCACATAGGTACACAGAAAAAAAAAAAACACAGAAAATCAATCCTAAATCCAAGACTAAAAATTAGCAAAGAAATTCTAAACTCTGTCCACACAAATGAAGAGATTAAGTGACTAACCATCATTTGTTTCTCAGGATAAAGCAAGCTTTTGATTAAAAAAAATATAAAACAGTAAATCTTTCAATAACTAACACCAATGATTCTTATAGGCTCAAGGTCAACAATGAATCAAGAATTACCAACAGATGGTTGGTAGAGACTAGGAAATTAATAGTTAACACTAAAATAAACCTGCAGAGAGTAATTCACAAATACAGTCACCATGATCTTCAGAAGAAATCCAGGAACTTATACTGCTATTACATAAAAAGTATCTTTTATAAAGTAAATTTCTCATTTCCCCCAGTTACACGTATGGCACACTAAAAGAAATGAAATCTACAGTGTGTACACTTGACATCATACCACCATGTCTGATTTATTTTGTAGAGCATGTCTTCTTTCTGTATACTTGGGTGTTCATAAAGAAGGAAATTTAGGCAAAATAAGAAAACTACAACTAGGCTAGGGAGACCATTATTAAGTGGTAGAGATCAGGACTAAGGACTAAGGCTCCTTTTTAGGCTCTAAAATGTATTAAAAAGGAAAGAAAAACATTATCAGAAGACTCTTGTTCCAGATGAATGAAAGAGCATTGAAAGTGGAATGGTAGAGAAAAAGGAGATGGATGTGGAGATGCTGCTGAGAAAATCATCAATGTGGTACGAGTTTGAATAGCAATTCATTACCAAAAGTGATTTACAAATTTGAAAGAAAAACTGCAACTGGTTCAATATTAACCCCATGTGTCTAGTGAAGTGGTTAGACATAGGAAATACTTGATAAAGTATTTGCTGAATAAATGACTAGGTAAGTCAGACTGTCAAACTCTGTGCATATTCATATTGTTAATGTGGAAGATTAGTGAAAATGGCTGCAATACTTCTTCCCATTTCTGTACACATGCCACTTTATATATATAATGTGGCTCTACCACTTCTCCCATCAAGAGGACTTGACCTGGGACTTCGGTAATTTAACAACATTCTTCGTCCAATGAGGCAAAAGCCATGCAAACAGAGGATTGGAAAGCACCTTTTGCTTTGGGGCTTTCCTTCTTGCATGAAATTCTACTGTTATCAAATAAAGAAATTTGGACTCCCCTACGACAGGGTGAGTTGCCATGCTTTACCAACGGTCTGGTCCAGTTGAGGACCCCTAAACCAATCAGCCTCCAGATGCCTTGTCAGTTGACTATAACTATATGAATGAAGCCAAGACAGAGAAGCAGAAGACCCACACAGCTGAACTCAAATTGCTGACACACAGAATTTCAAGCAAATAAAAAGTACTTGTTTCATACCATTAAGATTTTAAGTGCTTTGTTACACTGAATAGATAACTGACATATTTAATAAACTGCAGCTCTTATTTTCCATAGAAGATCTCAAAACCAACAATACAGGATTAGTAGATATATAGAAATCAGTCTACTTTGAGAAGGTAACTCACCCAAGTAAGAGCTCTGGGGATCGATACCACCTGGTGGCCACATACTCTGTATAGTTAGCATTGTTGCCTTCTGATAGATTTCTAGCAAAGCCTGAAACAGTAGTAATTTCATGTTGGCAAATATTTCAGTGCTAGTTAATAGATTAAAAGAATATCAAAAGAACATAATGACTGGTACTGAATGAATTTTTCATTAATAGTGTCCTTGTTACTTTAAAAAGTTTATAGAATGTTCAAGTCAATTAAAATGTGCAATATATTTACTACAAACCTAGTCTCGCCCCTAAGCTAAAGAAATTCATAGTTTCAAAGTCACCCCATGCCTTTATAAGCATTCAGAGCATACTTTTAAATCAGCTCTGCCAATAAATGAAAATCTTAGCAACAAAATGAAGTTCCCACAAAAGCCAGAAGTCAAAGTTCAACCAGCATATCAGATGGTCACTAATTATGCTATATGAGACTTTACACAGTACTTACATATCTATTGTTGCTGACTAGTTCTGGCCATTATATAAACAGCTGACAACGAGCAGTGATGGAAACAAAGAAGGCCAAAATTACTGCTATCTGCCAGCAACTAAGAAGCATATTACAGACAGCCTAATTACATTACAGATTCTACCATTACTTTTGTCGCCCACTGTTTCAAGGGCTTTCAGGCTATTGCATAACCATAAAACAAGTCAGCAGGATAAATTAATTATCTGCCTAACTCAATATATTCACTATGAATATAATAGCAATCCCACCCCTACCCCAACCTGTGGTTTCACCCTCTGCTGTTTCAGTGACCCGTGTTCAACCACAGTCTGAAAACTCGCAGACCAAAACCAGGGCATGACCAGTTGGCATAATCTGCAGTTTCACACATGCACTGGGGTCTTGAAATGTATGCACTGCAAATAAGGGGGGGTGCTGTAGTAGTTAGAGCATCAGAACAGCAAAACCAGGGGCAAAAATGAAAAGTGGAACAGTGAAAAATACAAACAATCACAGCAAAAAAATTCTGTAACTTCAGTTAATAAATACTTCTTTGTAACATATATTTTTTTAAAAATATTTTTATTTTTGAATGGGGTTCTTTAAGCTACACAAAGGAGCTGAGTGTTCTGGGAGGGAGAGCAATCAGGAAGCCCCTGTTGGAGCTGCATGGAACACAGAATGCCACACGTTGTGTTGCCACGAGGAGCTTCCTGGCCATTTCAGTCTTTTCTTTAAGAAATAATGCTAGACCAGGAATACTCTCTTCCTATTATTAGCTATTCTACCGCATTTGTTTTGCGTTTATAACTTGCTTTACAAATGTCAGTAACTTTGAAGCTTAGGCAGATGAGCAACCCATAGACGCATGTGCACACAGTAAATGGTATAAGTGGTGCATAAAGTCTCAGCATTGCATGGCAGTCATAATTATGGACAAGAAATCAGAAATAGATATACTGTATCTGAAAACCATAATGCTACAGAAATGCTAGAACTGCCAAGATTGAAATCCTTTAGATACAGCCTTTAACATTTCCTTTTTATTCTAAGTACTTCTTTAAAAATTTAGCATACAGATTCTTCTTTATAATATTCCTTAACATAAAGTATGAAAAAAATTAAATCTTGTAAAACATTTTTTCTCAGGCCAACAGGTTCATAATATTTAAATTATTTGGACACACTGAGAGCTACCTATTTTCAACTGCCACATTGGACAAAATAGGCATTCTGTTAAGGGAGTTCCTAAAATGCTTCTATTTCTCATTTGTGCCATCCATCTCCTTACAAACCTATCTAATTGAACCTTTGCTTATGATAAGGAGAAGCATTCTTAGTTGTGTGTGGAGGTTGATGTTGCATTTATGATTGTATTTGACTACATCAAGAAACGTTAAAATATCAAGTTATTTTTTAAAAAAGTGTCAAGACCTAAACATCACAATTATTATTTTAAAATTTTTGGTAATTATTTTAATTTGAATGTTTAATAGCACATAACACAGAGTTAGACATATGGGAAATAATATGCAATTTTCTACTAGGAGGAAAGACATACTCAAAGAAAACCTTCATTGATACATTCAATAAAGAGTTGGAATATCATGCATCAATTACTAGTGTCATTCATTTAACATTTAGAGGAAATAAATGGAAGTGTTCTAAAAATGTCTTTTGACTTTACAGTTACTTCTAACTATTGCATGTATACAATACATAGGTGTATGTATACAGGCATATTTTTAGTGTTTCTGGTTAAACCTGTGGCAATTTCAATTAATATTTAAAATATATTTTTATTCTTCTCAAACTAGAAGGCCATAATAGTTCCTAGACTTTTTTTTCTAGAGTAATTGGTTGCTGGGATTATGAATATATGCAAATGCATGTATTTGCTTTGAATTACTTCTCATTAAACAAATATTACATCATGAATCTTTGCTATTTTTGCAAAGAGTTAGTGATCCTCTAGCAATGAATTTTTCAGTACACAACCCAGTAGAATGAATGTTCTTCTGCTAAATTAAGTCAAAACTTTCAATATGCCTTTAAAAATTACCTATATATCACATTAAATTCTGTAAGTATCAGGACTCGACATTCTTTTTAACTTACCAAAGTCGCACAGTTTCAGAACATCATTGTGGCTGATTAAAAGGTTTTCTGGCTTTATATCTGGAGTATCAAGATGAAAAGACATTGGTAAAAATGTTCTATGTGTTCTGTGACTGTCTTTGTTAAGTCACTGCAATGGCATCTAATCAGAAATATCTAGAGTACTTTAAATAGAAACTATGGCAGCAAAAAGTAGGGTACATTTTTTGTTGGTACATAAAAGTTTCAATTAGCTTCTTTTGAGAAACACACGGACAACATCTAAAAAAAAGTTTCCCTTTAATTCTTAAAAGATATTAATTAGATCTCTGAAAGGAACTTAAAATGACTGAATCTAGGCAAACCCATTTCAAGGAACTATTTTTACTTCCCCAAATACCAATAATACAAATTTTTTGGGATAGCATATAAAATGTTTATATTCCCTAAGTTATCTTTAAAATACATAGGAGAAGAAGATAGCATTCTATTTACTGGAAGAAAAAATATAATATCTATTTTCTGTTATGGTTTTCTGTGTACTTCCAAATCTATACATCTCTTTAACCTTTCTGTAGGATTCACCAATATTAATGTCTAACACTGAAGCTATACTACTGAATGAGTCAAAGTTACTAATTTTTTCCATGGGTCTTTTGAAGATGTGATAGGAGCTGAGGGGTAGAAATTCAGAGAAAACATAGTTGGAATTCACCCTGAGAAGCATCTCACAGTTCTATGTTTAAAGTTGAGAACCCATCATCTTGTCACGTGGTGGAGGTGCAGCTAGGGAAAGCGCAGAGGCAGTGATATCTGCAGATGGCAGAAGTACGCTTCTACTCTTAATGGTAATCACTAGTGACTATACGCTTAACAAAATCGCAGTATCATGATGCAAATTCTGGTAACTCAGTTCTTCAGTAATATAACAAATCAGAATACTAGAATCATTACCCTAGATGCTAGACACCCAGTTACCTGGAGACCTGTTCGTGCCACCAACAACTTTGATAAGGTAGCTGCCATGAGAGTCAAGTGCAAGAGAAATACAGAGTGTCTCTTTCCAGACTGGCATTCTTCATATGACCTCTAAGCTATTCTTAACAGTGAGATTATTTTTAAACTGGCATCCTTGTGCATTTGTATAGGTAAATAAAAACATAGCATTCATGTATCTGATAATTCAAAGACAAGAAGTGTCTGCAACATTTTCTGATAAACATCTTTTAGCTTCATTTGCACCCTACTTCTGTAAAACTCTGCAATGCAAGAGATTATCAGGTGAAGATGAAATGATAGCATGAAATATAACGCTGAGCAAGTAATTTCCTTTTTATTGCTATAAACTACCCACTTCATGGCAGTAAAGGATAAAATAAAACAGCTTATAGAAGTATAATCATGGAATTTATGCAAGGTTGATCATGCCTGCCATATGCAGACAATGTTTTCTTTTTTTTTTTATTTTTTGACAGGCAGAGTGGACAGTGAGAGAGAGAGAGAGAGAGAGAGAGAGAGAGAGAGAGAGAGAGGTCTTCCTTTGCCGTTGGTTCACCCTCCAATGGCCGCCGCGGCTGGCGCGCTACGGCCGGCACACCGCGCTGATCCAATGGCAGGAGCCAGGAGCCAGGAGCCAGGTACTTATCCTGCTCTCCCATGGGGTGCAGGGCCCAAGTACTTGGGCCATCCTCCACTGCACTCCCTGGCCACAGCAGAGAGCTGGCCTGGAAGAGGGGCAACCGGGACAGAATCCGGCACCCAGACCGGGACTAGAACCCGGTGTGCTGGCACCGCAAGGCGGAGGATTAGCCTAGTGAGCCGCGGCGCCGGCCGACAATGTTTACTTTTCACTAGCACGTAGGGAAAATCAGGAGATAAAGATTTGTACTAGAAAATGTTGGTCTAAGAGAAACAAGAGGTAAAGGCCAATGGCGGTCAGTGACACAGGGCTACCTAGAATGCCTGATTCCAAGTTGTTGCATTACCTGGTTTACCTGCAGGACCAAAGGCTATGGATATTATCCCTATTTACTCTCCCACCCACCAAGTAGGCTTCAAAGTTCATAGGAGTTGAGTTCACTTGTATCACTAAGTTTTTCCATAGCTGAGAGTGGATCTGGTTAGACAAACACAGATATCTCACATTTGGAACCCATCCTTTTAGAGGTACAAAAGGAGATCTGAGGAGCAAATGACTTCTCATATTCTATACCTTCAAAACATATCTCATTTAAAGGGAAATGTCAGTGCTTATGGAAATATTCTTAATATACAAAATATTTTAACTTTTCAATAATTTCTTAATATTTTCCATTTCAAAAATCCCATACTCACCTCTATGAACAATATCGTTCTTATGGCACCAGTGAATAGCTTTGATTAGTTGATAGATGTAACTTTTTACTTTTTCAGGTGGAACTCCATTTGGCATTTCTTCCAGCAACTCAAGCATATTCTAAAAATTAAATGGAGAATATATTAATCTCCAAAATGAGATAGGCCCATGTTTTAATTTTTAAAGAATCTTAGATGATAATTCATCCAAAACATAGCATACATTTTTAAAAATTGTTTTGCTTTCCAGCTACAACTTTTTCATGCTGAATCAGGATACTGCATTAAACACAGGTTTTCTCTTATGAGAAATTCCATTTTTACTATTCCCCATGCTGCCCCAAATAATAACTCTGTACACTTTTCACAGCCCCCTAAAGCCTTTCAGGGATCATTTTAGACTAATTTGAAGAAAGAAGCAATACAAAATACAGATATAACGATGTAATGTATGGAGGATGAAAACAGTGCCTCTGGTCCCTCAATGAGGCCACCAGCCCACATTTTTCTTTTTTTAACTTATTTGACAGATAGAGTTAGACAGTGAGAGAGAGTGAGAGTGAGAGTGAGAGTGAGTGAGAGAGAGAGAGAGAGAGAGAAAGGTCTTCCTTCCATTGGTTCACCCCCCAAATGGCCACCACAGCCGGAGCTACGCCAATCCGAAGCCAGGAGCCAGGTGCTTCCTCCTGGTCTCTCATGTGGGTGCAGGGGCCCAAGGACTTGGACCATCCTCCACTGCCTTCCCGGGCCACAGCAGAGAGCTGGACAGGAAGAGGAACAACCGGAACTAGAACCTGGCACCCATATGGGATGCCGGCGCCACAGGCTGAGGATTAACCAAGTGAGCCACGGCGCCGGCCCCGGAAAACAGTGCCTCTAACACATCTTTAATAGGAACTTGCAATAGGGTCAAGCCTTGAAAATATATCTGGGAGATCCGGATAATATTCTTAAAAGAAAACTGAAAGATCCTTTAAGATTAGAAGTGACCAATACATTTAGTACAAAAATTGTTAGAATAGGCTAGAAAATACCACTGAAATAAAAACTCAAAATCCCAAACAACTCAGTATTAAAAAAAAAAAAAAACCTTAGTTTTTTGGAATCAGAGACTATTCTAAAATTCATGCAAAATTTTTGTGTTAAGTAGAAATTCTACTTAGCCATTCTCCAGTGAATTTCCTTATTAACCAAACATTCTCAATTCCCTCCTTAAAGCACAAGTTGAGGCTCACAGCACAACCATAGCTTACTACAGTTCTCAAAGTTTAGTCTGTGCATCTCAGGGAGGTCTCAGACCTTAGAGAGGGTCCATGGCATTAAAACTATACTCTTAACACTCAGATGTTTTCCCTTTTCATTGTGTTAGCATTTACACTGACAGTACCAAGTAATAATGAGTAAGCAAAGAAACTGGATTCTTCAGGCCAATTAACCCTTACAGTTAAAAAAAAAAAAAGGTGGTGGTGGGGAGACCGACTGACATTGTGGTGCAACAGGTTAATTCACTGCCTGAGAAGTGAGCATCCCATATGAGTACTGTTTTGAGTTCTGACTGCTCCACTCCCAATCCAGCTCCTTGCTAATGTGACTGAGAAAGCAGCAGACAATGATGGCCCATGTCCTTGGGCCCTTGTCACCAACATGGCAGACGTGGATGGAGTTGCTGGCTCCAGGCATTGGCCTGGCCCAATCCCAGGCTCTTGCAGTCATTTAGATAGTGAACCAATGGATGAAAAATCTCTCTTTCTCTCTGTAACTCTGCCTTTCAAATAAGTAAAATAAATCTTAAAAAAAAAAAAAAACACTTGCTGTTTTAGTTAAGGTCAGATGTCCTTAATGAAGCAGTAAAAAATATTACTTATATTAAATTTCAATTCTTGAGTACATGTCTCTTTAAGAATCTACATGATAAAATGTGGAATAAGACGCTTTTGCTGCATGTTTGCCATCTGCACCATGAATGTCTTGAGGCAAAAGCACTTGGGTGATTGAGATGCAAGCTGAACTGAGTACTTTTTGTAGAACAACATTTTTTACTTGAAAGAATGACTGACATACAAAGTTATTTATGTTAACATGTAACCAGTTTGCTGCTACTGCAAAATGAATATTTTCATATTGCTCAGTTGACTTCTAGTATGAGAAGCATCAACAGATAAAATCTACATACACAAACTAAACCCTATAAAAATCAGTTGTATTTACTCCTATATCCATTTGTAATATGTACTTGCTATGTTAATATAATTAAATATGTAAATCAATGAAGCTTTTTTTTTTAAGTTGCTGTTTACAAGAAAACAAAAGTTCCAAGAATGCTTTGGAAAGACTTAATAAAAAAAAAAAAACCCACTCAACTATTACCATATAATCAAATATGAGTGAGATAACTATAAAACACTGGCATGGGAAAGGAGCTGATGTGGATAAGCCTAAATACTGAAGGACCCTGCATTGAGATTCGCTTTGCAAGTGTTCTTGAGCTTTGGATTCATTTTTTTTTTCCTTTTTCTTTCTTTCTTTTTTTTTTTTTTTTTTTTGACAGGCAGAGTGGACAATGAGAGAGAGACAGGGAGAAAGGTCTTCCTTTTCTGTTGGTTCACCATCCAATGGCCGCCCCGGCCGGTGCGCTGCAGCCAGTGCATCACACTGATCGCACTGGCCAGGAGCCAGATGCTTCTCCTGGTCTTCCATGCGGATGCAGGGCCCAAGACTTGGGCCATCCTCCACTGCCCTCCCGGGCCACAGTAGAGAGCTGGACTGGAAGAGGAGCAACTGGGACAGAATCCAGCGCCCCGACCAGGACTAGAACACGGGGTGCCTAGAACACAGGGTGCCGGCGCCACAGGCGGAGGATTAGCCTAGTGAGCCATGGCCCTGGCCGAGCTTTGTATTCATTTAAAAGATGCATCATGGGTATGATATAGGTCAGAAAAACCAGTCAGAACTTCAGTCAGAAGAACAATATGCAACAGACCATGACCCGACTTCTAAAGAATGGTAAATGAATGTGCAGTCATCCCATGGTGTCCACAGGGGACTGGTTCCAGGACCCCCACTCCATGAATACCAAAATCCATAGATGTGTAAGTCCTTTATATAAAATGGAATGGCATGGAGCTGGTGCTGTGGCGTAGTGGGTTAAGCCTCTGCCTGCAGTGCCTGCATACCATATGGGCACCAGTTTGTGTCCCAGCTGCTCCTCTTCTGATCCAGCTCTCTGCTTCTGGCCTGGGGAAGCACTGGAAGACGGTCCAAGTGCTTGCACCCCTGCGCCCACGTGGGAGACCCAGAGGAAGCTCCTGGCTCCTGGTTTCAGATGGGCCCGGCTCTAGCCATTGCAGCCATTTGCGGAGACAATCAGCAGATAGAAGAACTTTCTGTCTCTCCCTCCCTCTGTCTGTAACTGTGGCATTTGCATTTAACCTAGCACAGCCTCTCTTATGTGCTTTAAATCATCTCTAGATTACACACAATACTTAATACAATGTAAATGCTAACTAAATAGTTGTACTATATTTTTGGGGGAATAATGATACGGGAAAAAAAAGTCTACATGTTCGGTACAGACCCAACCATTGTTAGACCAAAAGAAAAAAAAAGCAAAACAGATATAACCATTGTAGACCTAAATATATAGTACATGATGAGCTGCACTTGTTTGAATCCACAGATACACAATCTGTAGATATGGAGAGCTAAGTATATATTTTCAGCTAAAAGAAAATGTTTAAAATATGCATACTTCCCTTTTTTTATGATTCTTCATTTGAATTGCTGTTTTCCGTTAACATAGGAGGTCACAAATGCACACTAGGAATTACATGGCTTTGTAATATAGGAAGCATCACAGCTCTCCTCTCGTGTTCTACTCTAAATTCCTCAGTGGTAGAGCTACTGTTCCCCACTGACCATTCTCTCCTTAGTCTATAGTAATCTAGTTTTCAAGTGGAGGCCTAGTTGCCCAAAACAGAGAGAATATTTCCTCTCTGCCTTGCAGTTAGTTGGCCATGCAACTATATATCCTGGCCAATGGGATATGAGAAGCTGGAGCTCAATACAGTACTGACCTTAAGGACAAGGGCTAAATACCAAGGGTGGTGGAACAGAGAGGGAGAAACAGTCTGGGTGTCCTGTTACAACTGCTGAGCTGCCAGACTAGTCCTGTACTGCCTATCTTTGTCCATGAACTTCTATTTGGTTAATCCACTGTAATCCTGGGTCTTGGTTACCAACTCCGTACTCCTTGAAGCATCTTTCTCTTTGCCCTCGTGTGACTCACCACCATTTGTGGGGCCCTCTCATGGACGAACAGGTGTGATGGTTATCTTCCACCTAAGTGCCACAGGGGCAAGGGAAGAATCCCAGGCCTAGGGGTCAGGGAACTAGAATTCTGGAAGCCAGTGACCAGCAGAGAGCTCTGGTCTCTCCCAGTGAGGAAGCAGATACACAGAGGTGCTTTCTCTATTTGTTATACTAAATACTAAATTGTTATTCACCATGAACAATCACCATGAATAGAACAGAAATGAAAACAATGAACTGAAATAGATCTGTCAAAATTTTATTACTAGGCTGTGAAAACTGCAAACTGCATGATTATTTGTGACAACTGAAGAATGAGGAGCATCTGATTCTCCCTGGGATACCAGTACAGCAATTCTTTCCTTATAACTTTTAAAAATATATATCAACTTATAATGGTTTATTTTGGTGGGGAAGGTACCTTAGGAGAACACCTAAATTGACACAGAAAGAAACTTAAGGATAGAAAATCTGTCCCTCTGCTCTTCAAATAATTAAATAAATATATCTTAAAAACAAAGAAAGTAAAACAAGTTCTAGAAAAGAAACATAAAAACAATGGTTTAAAATGACAGAGTCTTCTGGTGTTTTTCAAGTTTTGTTAGTAACGAAATTACCATATATAAAATTATGAAAAATAATTTATAAAGGCAGAATGAACTTGAAGCCACATTACTGCTCAGTCGTCTTGGCAACACAGCTTTCCATTTGGTGATGGCAATGGCAGAAATACTCTGTCATTTATAGCCTAACAAGCACCTGGGAACTGATCTAAAGCAAACACAAACACCTCCACTTTCGATCTTCATTAGATAGCACAGGAAATCCACAGGAACCACCTATTTACTCATCAAGCAAACTTCTAAAAGACTCAGTCTGGCTTCAGTTTCTTCTACTATTGCTAAGGCACTTATTTGTTTACGTTCTTGACTACAACCAGTTGCCGGAGGTCAGCTGTCTCCCAGAAATTCCTAGGCACACAGTATTTATTACTGCCACATACATATATTTGCCCTAAGGTCACATCATGAAAACCATCACTAATAAGTTGACCATTTGTTTTTAAAGCGCTAAGACCAGTGCACGGACAACTGGAACAATGAATGTTCTTCTTGTTTTCTCCCATGCTTCCAATTCCTTACCTGTGCTCCCATCTACCACCCCAGCTCCACCTTATGCTTGCAAATCTCATTTCCTCAAAGAAAGCCAAAGCCCTGGGGTGCACCAAAGGCTGTTCCAGGAGCCCACTCATTCACCACCCTAGGTCTGGTTCAGACAGCTGGCTGTGCTTGCAAGGTCTCTGATGCATGCTTCTACTACCCTGTACAAGCCCTGTCAATGTATACACTTCTTCAGAAGCCTTGTGCAGCTTTAATCAGAAGAAATCAAGTCTAAAAATTACTTGTTGCAGAGATTCTAACATATTGTTTAAACTTAAGATTATCTCTGTATAGTCAGAATTACACAAAATCCTTAAGTATATTTCAGGGTTTCTGATGATTATAGATAATAATTCCATTATTAAAGCCCTCAGATTATGAGCGCATTTGACAAGTGTCAGAAACAGCCCTTAAATAAAGGAAGCAGACAAATCTCCATATTGGCAATGAATTACTTACTTTTTCAACATATTCAAACACCAAGTACAATTTCCCCCTGCGACGAAAGGCTTCCTTCAGCTCCACAATGTTTTCCTGTTTGAGAGTGCGAAGCATTTTAAGCTCTCGTAAAGTCGTTTCCTTGACTTCTTCATTCTCTGGAATGTAAACAATGGCAAAGAGGGTAAAATGAGAGTTCTCCATCCACTGCCCAAAGAATTTCCAGAACACTGCAAGCATCCCAGCTTCACCTTCTAGTTTCAGTACTTCTGCACAACAAGCCCACGGATGTAACACTGAATAACCTGCTCTGCGGAGAGAGGAGCTAGAGTGAGAAACTTAGAGGAAAATGCTCCCCAGACCAGCACAACCCTGATTTTCTGCTTGTATTTTCTTACACTCCTTATTGCAAAAGTGTTCGAGGGGGTCTTCAAAAAGTTCATAGAAAATGTGTATTATGCAAAAACTATGCATGGGCATGGATTTCAAACATTTTTTTTACACCAAAACAAACTTATTTCCACTTTCCTCCAAACTCTTTGGAGTACCACGTGTGTATAAAAACATAGACTTACAGATATAACATATGACTTCACTGTCATTTTTACTCTATATTGGGGAAGAAGGAGATTAAAATTGTAATAAGGAAAGAGCTGTCTCAGTGTGCAGAGGAGCCGCTATGCAGCCAGCATCTACAGTGCTTGAAGGTTCCAAGGTAGGCCGGAAGCTTTGGCTTAGAAGAGTATTTTATTCCTCAAGCTGAATGTAAGTCATCTCAGTGAGCAGAGGGCATGCGCCAGGCATTCACAAGGCAGCTTGTGGCCAAGTTGCAGGCCATTCTCTGAGTGTCTGATATCTCTCTGAACAGCAGCTGCTGCAGGTTCCTGCTGTCCTCCTGTGGCATGTCCATCTGTCCATTCCAAATGGCATAGCTGGTTTTGGGATGGAGAACTTATGCTGAACTCACACACCCTCTTCCATACCATCAACTTCACTCATGGTAACTTCCACAGACACGGAGGAAGGACAAAAGTCACATTAACTCTAAGGGATTAATTGGCAGGCAAGTAGGAAAGGCAGTATTTGAGTTCAAATTAATGTCTACGATAGCTTTATAAATACCATGTTCAAATTAATGTCTATGATAGCTCCATAAATACCATGTTGCTGAATGTGTGTATGGGGTTACAGGTTCACAATCTCTCACCTACATTTCCAAGTTCAAAAATCGATCTAAAAACAGGTATTTTTCTAGATTTGTGACAAACTCATTTAGAAACAAAAAATGAACCAACATAAGATCATTTACAGTCTTTGTTTATCTCACCTAATGTGATTATTCCTATGTTGTACTACAGAAATACTACTTGATTACAAGGTGCTATATCTCCTACCATATTTCCACCCTAAATTCAAGTTACAAAGCCAAAACCACATTCTTTCCCAAGGTTGTGGATCAGGGCCAGAATTCTAGCCTGTAAGTTTAACTTCTATGACTCCCAGGTTTGGTCCTGTCTTAAGTGTGAGGAGGAAGATAATGGGGTTTGATGACAGGGCCAAGAAAGACTAATGTCCCCTCCAGGAAGAAATGTTCTCTAAGCAAGGTACACAGGAGGAAAAAAGCTGAATGGGTGTGGAGCACAAAAGGAGAAGGGAGAATCTAAGTGCAGTGCCAGGTACACTTGGATTATTTTGTATCCTAGCCCCCCTCTCCCAACTGCCATTCAGTGGAAAGAAAGAGACTTTAACAGAAGCAGGAGCTTTGTCTAGCACTAGAGTATGTATAACAAACAGGGAACACAGAATCACCACTCCACTGTGAACTGGTGAAGTATTCTCCTACTGCAGCTAGAATACTGTGGGAGAATATGCTGGAATACAAGACCCAGCAGTAAGAAAGACCAATGGCAACATAAGCTGTGAATCAGCTCAGCTCACACCATGGGGGAGGTCAACTGGGAAACTGGGTCCTCACACAGCATATGTCAGGGGGAAAGTGCATGACAGTAGATGCCACCTGCCCGCAGGGGGAATGGGTGACATGTACTTAGGGGACTTCCCAAAGTGGCTTAGGAGACTGGGAGAGAACAAAGGGCCAACTGTTCTGCAAGCTGGGCTGAATCAGCGATGTGTTTATCCCCTGAGTATCAGAAACCTCCAGGAGGCCCAACACTAAAGGCTAGGAACACCAGAAACCTCCTAAAGTAGCTACCCCGGGACTATTGCTCTCACAGTCCCTCTGACTACTCTCAGGCTTGGGCAGTCAAACGCAAACTCAGAATTCCGGAATGCCACACAGATCTCCAGAAGAGGCAAATGGTCTAACAAGTAATTCAACCTGAGACAAATACATTTACTACTCAGGACCTGGTCCCTTGCCTGCCTCTCCACCCCCAACCTCACCTTATTCCTTCAGCTCCCAAACTAGCCCCAAGCTTTATTTTTCTACCTTTGGGCCTTTGTACTCATTCCTTCTGCCTAGAACAGTCTACTACCCAGATTCCTTCCAGAATAGGCTTTTTTTTTTTTTTTTTGGACAGGTAGAGATATAGATAGTGAAAGAGACAGAGAGAAAGGTCTTCCTTCCGTTGGTTCACCCCCCAATGGCTGCTATGGCCGGCGCTGCACCAATCCGAAGCCAGGAGCCAGGTGCTTCCTCCTGGTCTCCCATGCGGATGCAGGGCCCAAGCACTTGGGCCACAGCAGAGAGCTGGATTGGAAGAGGAGCAACCGGGACTAGAACTCGGCGCCCATATGGGATGCCAGTGCCACAGGCGGAGGATTAACCAAGTGAGCCACACGTCAGCCCCCTCTGTTACTTTTTAAATATCACCCTTCACCGGCCTTTCCCAGACCACTGAAGCAAGTAGGGCCCCATTCCTATTATTCCTTACCACAGCCCTCCTCACCATCATTTTTGATCTATGAGGGTACTCCAAAAAGTTTGTGGAAAATGCTTATATTTTAAAAAAAAAGCATGGATTTCAAAATATTTTTGCATCAAAATAAACTTACTTTTTAATTCCAACTTTCCATAAACTTTTTGAAGCGCCCTTGTATTTGTTTGCTCACTGGCTTACTATCTGTGCAGTCACTGCTGCTAAAACAAAAGCTGTAGGAGGACAGGACTGAGTTCCTCTGTTCAACAATATACACCTGATCATCTAGGCCCGCAGCCAGCACAAAGAGCTGATCAATACCTACTCCTCCAAGAATGCACCACGTGGAGCCACAAGGCAATCTTTGCTTAGACATGGCTAGCTCTTACTCATCTCAGACATGAGGGAAGCAGCAACAGAATGACAAAACAGGCACTTTGCCCTCTTAGTTTTGGGCACAGTACTTTCAATCTTCTCTCTTGAAAACTTTGAATAGGCTACTTATCAGGCAATAAGGCAAAGGGAATTTATCTTCCCCTATTCAACTCTGCCCCCTGGTTGTCTTTTACAACATGTGATTATATGAAAAATGGAGGATTTAGAAAACCAGTGGTACCCTCGGGGTCAAGAACACATATACACATACATATATAATCATTAACAGCATCCCTAAGCTACACTGCAGCTGTGTACACATAAATGTTGCTACAAAATCACTAAGTAAATACAGCTGATGTTTTTCCCTAGTCAAATGACTGATGAATACTTGGTACCAGAAAAGCTACCGGAAAAAAAAGGATGCCTGCTATGAGCATCAACCTGTGGCAGTTTCATTTTGCTAATTGATAAATCCGTCTCAGAATGGCTCCAGAAGGAACAGGGCAGTAGTGAGACCTAGACCTTGGACTCAGTATTTTAAACAATTAACCATGTCACTCTGGGCAAGTTATGTAACTTCCCATGAGTAAAATGAATAAATAACCCCTCTCATTTCCTCCCAATCCTATGGCCTTTTCTGAATCTAATAATCCATTATTTCTTTTGATAAAAATTGCATTGATTATAAGCCTAAAGCTTATGGAACTTTTGTATTTTGTTCTGTATATATCATTCAACTCCATACTGACTCCACTTAACAATGGTTACAGAGAGAAAATAAAATGAGCTTTCAGAGAGAAGCACACAAAACCACCAACCATTTAGAGCCCAAACAGTCTCATTTCAGCAGCCTCTTTAGAAAATGAAGTCTCTACTTAGGCTACTCACAGGTGTTAAAAAGTTACAGTAAGCACCGAATATTAAAGCTGTAATAAGTAGAGCTATTAATTTCCTAAGTGCAAGCAAAATGTGCACTCTTCATTACTTGATACATCAGATAATTTTGTTTCTCTAAGTACATTTAAGGTTCCTGGCCTGCCCTGCACTTTATGATGAAAATTGCAGCACTAAACAATTAGATGATGGGGGAAAGGAACGCATACTCCACTTCTACAGGCTTTTTTCTGCAGAGGTTCAGAAAGTAGCAAAGCATGTCAGTGAGGGAATTTTTAAAAGTCATTTAGTAGCACAGTCCACTGAAGGAGCACAAAAATCACTATCTGGCCGGCACCGCGGCTCACTAGGCTAATCCTCCGCCTAGCGGCGCCGGCACACCAGGTTCTAGTCCCGGTCGGGGCGCCGGATTCTGTCCTGGTTGTCCCTCTTCCAGGCCAGCTCTCTGCTGTGGCCAGGGAGTGCAGTGGAGGATGGCCCAGGTGCTTGGGCCCTGCACCCCATGGGAGACCAGGAAAAGCACCTGGCTCCTGGCTCCTGCCATTGGATCAGCGCGGTGCGCCGGCTGCAGCGCGCCAACCGCAGCGGCCATTGGAGGGTGAACCAATGGCAAAAGGAAGACCTTTCTCTCTGTCTCTCTCTCTCACTGTCCACTCTGCCTGTCAAAAAAAAAAAAAAATCACTATCTTCCAGCTGAAAGACTCTATGGATTCTTTACCTTGGATAGCGCCTCCAGTTTATAAATGAAGAAATTAAGTCTTGAAAGGATAAGCAACTTTTTTTTTAAAATATTTATTTATTTGAAAGTCAAAGTTACACTGAGAGAGGAGAGGGAGAGAGGGAGAGAGGAAGGGAGGAAGGGAGGAAGGGAGGGAGGGTGGGGGAGAGTGGGGGAGAGAGAGAGAGGTCCACCATCTGCTGGTTCACTCCTCAACTGGTCGTAAAGGCCGGAGCCGTGCCAATCCGAAGCCAGGAGCCAGGAGCTTCTTCCAGGTCTCCCACATGGG